ATTTTAGTTAAATTGCGACATTATAATTATATAATCGAGTGGCATACTGGTACTTCATTTTCAACCACTAAAACCAGCGCTTTTAATCATGCGTGCGCCTTTTTTTTCGATAGTGAAAAACCGCAAAGTTATCACTGACACTGCGCTTAGGGTGAGACTGAACTCTTACCAAATCCATGACTTTAAAATTAACTACACATTTATCTTACATTTATGTTAGCCTTACCCATACTGTACAAAAATCAGGGTCAGGATGTAAATACAGATATGTATTACATTTCTAAGTTTAAAGCTATATCCACTCTATCCTATTGACTGGTGAATTATTCTGAGAGAGAGTGAGGGGGAAAAGACTTACTTTAGATATGGGTGGATGCCTGTGATGCTGAGTTTGCTCGCTCTTTCTTTAGTAAGATGCCCTTGCTTGCAAACAAACTTAGCATTGTCATACTATCCACAAATTGCGCCTCTCGCCTCTTTTCTCAACTGAAAGAAAATAAACATGCATATGATACATTGGTATAATTATATAATTAATAATATATATATCAATATCCAGACCCCCCAGATAATTACCATTCATTAAAATTAGGCCTGCCTATACATCTTTAATGGCAAATTGATTTAGGGATACATGAGTCGCGGCCATCAATAAAATAGTGGCATTCGTCCTTTACTTACCGTGGTAAGAATCATTGGCTTGGAGAAAGAATTATTACATGAAAAGACCAACTAAATTTAAAGTTAACTTATTATTATTACTTTATTACTTAGGCTTGTGATTTTCTTTGGCCTGTTGTCGTTGAAGACTTTGACTTGCGTTTAACTCCTTGTTTGTAACAGTGAATTATATATCCATATTTAAGGTGTTCCAAATTGGGATCTTTCATCTTCTCTGGCGATCTTTTTGTGAAATACACATGTTCTTTACAAAAATAATTCAATTCGTCTTCAATAGACAGCAGTGTATTGGACGATCGCCAACAGATCTGACCAGGACCAGCTACAACAGGATCTCAATCTGTTAGCTGAGTGGGAGATGAGCTGGAACATGGAATTTCACCCTGCCAAGTGCCAGACACTATCAATCTCTAGAAGTTGTACTCCTCTACACTACCAATACGAACTGCACGGCCATATACTTGAGCAAGTTTCCTCCGTAAAGTACCTGGGTGTTACCATTCAAAGAGAGGTCCGCTGGGACGAGCATATTAACAATGTATGTAACCAAGCAAACAAGACCCTAGGGTTCTTAAGGTGAAATCTAAAGATTGGCAACTCCTGTGTGAAAGAAAGAGCATATAAAGCCTTTATCCGTCCGATTTTAGATTATGCATCTTCAGTCTGGGACCCATTTACCCAGAAGAGCATTGACTTTGACAGGTTGGAGGCGGTCCAGCGACGAGCACCACGCTTTGTCCTAAACCGCTACAGTTACAGGAATACCTCTAATGTTGGCAGCATGCTGGAAACACTAGGCTGGTCACCATTGGAGAACGACAACGACAATCCAGGTTCTCCATGATGTACAAGATAAATAATGGGCTGGTCCACTGTTCCAGTATTAAACAGAAACTCGTCCTTCTCCCCTATAGAAAGCGACGAGGCCATGACTCATGACAGTAGGCAATTCAGGCTCATACCAGCAAGAAGCCAGTATAATGTATAGGAGCTGCTCATTCCTGCCCAAGACAAAGTCAGGGACTGGAATAAGCTTTCAAAAGGAATAGTTGAGGCGACAACACTAGACTAGACACATTTTACTATTATTGCCTCAAGCCTTCAAACCCCTAGTGCATCACGCCCAAGACAATCAGGGACTGGAACAATCTTTCAAAAAGGAACGGTTGAGGTGACAACACTATGCCTTCAAACCCCTAGTGCATGATTCCCTCACAAAGTGGCACTGGAAATCAGTGAAATTTCCTCATCAACACCAGGCACAGAAACATAGCAAATCCCATCTACACGCATAGGAGCCAAAATGATAAATAAATTGATCGTGGGCCCTTAAGATATAGAAGAAGAAAGAGTATGCTGCCAACCTCCATTTTTTAAAAAAGAAACGGCGGCAAACTTGTCGATTATTAAGCCTCTGGTTCGGATCATGATTTTTTTCGATTACTAAGACTTTCAGGTGCGAATAGTCATTGGTGACTACAGGTACTCGGGTACCTATAGCCACCTCGTTCTCTTTTATGCCACCGATAATATCTTCTTAAATTTAAGTTAATATTTTATCAAAAAGTAATAAAATAAGAAATTTATTTTAATCGAAGTGGCTATTCGGACCCGGGTCCGAGAAGTGAGAGATTAGGATTAAATTTAAAAAAAATAATAATATTGTTATGTTGTAAGACAAATTTGGTATTAAATGAATGATAATTGAATGGACTACGTGTTTGAGTTTGTAAACTTACACTGTCTTACTTCTTCAGTTTAAACCCCCCCCCCCCTTTTCCCCTTTTTCCACTATGGACGACGGGGTTTACTCTGAAATATTTACTTTTTAGCCTACATATTATATTTGTGCTACTTTGAACACGTTTTTATTAGAGGTCTGCTGTGAACTATTAATATTGCTATCGCAATGAAATTTAAAAATATATCTATTTCAGTTCATTTGAAGATGATTTTAAATAAATACTTGGAAGTAAAAAAAAAAATAATTAAAAAACACACATTTTCCGACAGACCAAGTAATACCATAACATGGGCGCCCGCAGGTAGTGGCAAGGTGGGGCACTTGCCCCCCCCCCCCCCTGATTGATTGGATAAAAATTTTTTGACAAAACTAGACAAAAAAAGTATTAAAGTAAAGAGAAAATACAGAGAAAGTAACTAAGCTCATGTCTTGCCCGTTCGTTCACCATGCAAATACGCTACAGTAAATTAAAACTATATTAAAACATAACTAAAAAAATTTNCTTTTAGAAAGTTTTCTGCGGGCACCCATGGCTGTGAACTATTAATATTGCTATCGCAATGAAATTTAAAAATATATCTATTTCAGTTCATCTGCTGCTTCCCTTCCCCTGCCTCCGAATTCAACTCAGAATGATAAAGTTCAGGATGAGGAAGGTAACGTGAGTGACACAGACGGCTGCAGTGCGAGTTAAAAAAACCAAAAAAAAAAAAACGCGGGATCGAAGACGCCTCACGGGGGCCCCCTCACGTTTGGGGCCCTACGCGGATACGTAGTCAGTGTATGCCTAAGAACCGGCCTGTTGGGTTGGGATTCTTGGGAATCACTGGTATAAACACGAAAGATTAGGTCAAGGAAAACCTACTAGCATCTCTTCTATTGCTCTCTGATAAGTGTGGAACAATGCAATACTAAATTAAGTTATCCCCAAAATGCATCCCTGGATGTTGAATCAAAAGATAATAATACTCTAATAACGGGTAATGGGAGATCCTCTGTCTGATACGCCTACTCCTACTACGCCACCAAATTTTCGTCCGCCAAAAATCCGCCGGAAAATATGCGGCACGCCGCATTAGCCGCCGTATTTCGTCCGCCGTAAATCCGCCGAAAAATGAACGAGTCGCCGTAACGTAATGTTTTTGCTTTCTTAAATTTCATGGCGTTCCGTTTTAAGGTATCAGGTATTGAGTGACAGAAACTGAATGAATGGAATGCATTCATGCACTGTATTAACAGGACAGCATATAAAACTGCTTTTTTTTTTTTATTGTTTGAAATAATAAAACTTTTTCTGAAGTATTGTAAAAGTGTTTTATTGCCCAAGTTTTATTACTTCATTATTGGCCAGGCTTCAGCCGAATTTCAGCCGAATATTTCGTAATCAGCTGAAAATCAGCCGCAAACGTCAATTTACTGAGAAATCCGGCTAATCCGGATAGCAACCAAAAAATTGACAGCCAGCCGAAATTTAAAAAAAAATTCGGCTGGCAGGTCTAGACTATACAGATTCCAGGGCTGAAACTAAGCTATAGTCAAAAGTATAACACCAGGGGTGCCACAACTGGATGAATTCATATTATGCATGACGTGGGACGTCGGAGTCAGAGATGGCCCTGGGCATCCTTGTGTTTAATTTTGACACTGATAGATGCATGTCCCCCAGAACCCACTTCCCGAAAATCTGAACTGCCCCTCGACATCAAACTGCCTGAAACTGAAAGACACTCTGCACCAAATGTCTCCGAGAAGCGATAAACTCGTTATTTCTAATTTCTTTATTTAATAAAATATTGGTTTAACTTAATGCGATATATCAATTCTTTTTTTTTTAAGTGCAGTTGGAGAAGGTGAACCTTACCATGACCTACGAGAACTCTAGTGGGTCATGGCCTTACCATGAGATGGTGAGAGAACGACAGAGAGAGAGAGAGAGAGAGAGAGAGAGAGAGAGAGAGAGAGAGAGAGAGAGAGAGAGAGAATAGAGGAAGAGATATATTATTTTGTGAAAGTATCCTTTACTTTTGTAGGATGCACATGAAAATTATGTAAGCTAACACTAACTAACGCTTTCATATATATTTCTTTTTGCGCATCAATGAGAGAGTGAGAGAGAGAGAGAGAGAGAGAGAGAGAGAGAGAGAGAGAGAGAGAGAGAGAGAGAGAGAGAGAGAGAGAGAATAGAGGAAGAGATATATTATTTTGTGAAAGTATCCTTTACATTTGTAGGATGCACATGAAAATTATGTAAGCTAACACTAACTAACGCTTTCAAATATATTTCTTTTTTCATTTTGCCTCTACGATATTCTATTTATAAGTAGAATATGTTAATCGGTCTATTTGAACATTAATTTTATCAAAATAATTATCATAATAACATATAAATAATTTTATAATTAATGTTTTTATAAATGAAAATTGATTATTTTGGGATCATATTAAATATCAGTATGTCATTTTCAAGTCCTGAAGGCACACCTCACATTTATTATTTATGGTTATGTTGTTTCGATAACAGTTTCGGAGTTTTCTGTGTGGTGCCTATATATTTTTAAATTAATTTTTCTGCTTTAAAATAGCTGCAGAAATTAGTAAAGATACTTAAATGTCATTTTAAAAAAAAGTGGTAACCTATTGCCAAATTTTGTTATAGAAGCTGAATTGTGTAAGTGTAAACAAAATTCAAGTTTTGAATGTTGATATGTTTTGAATTGAAGACGAGGCTTGTAGTCTGTGAGTTTTATGTCGGCCATTGTCAACGGCAAATGTAAACTGAAAAAGCTTTGCTCAAGCGACTCCCATCCTTCATTTTGGAGCTTAAAAAGTAGTGTGAATAATTTCCTTTTTTGAGAGAAATCATTTTCCTTTTGGATTAGACCTATATTTTCTTGGAAACCTACATTTTAAGGTACGAAAGCAACTTTTAAAAAACCCAAACAAAGCCGGTCTCTTGTAAACTGTAATGGCTTGTGGAGCAACTTTGAAACGGTCACTAGAATTTGACCCTTTGCACAGTCCAACGCAATCGACACCAATAAAGCGGAGAAGATGTATGCCAATGACTATGGTCCAAACTCCTCCCCCAACAAAGCTGCATCAACTCACCCCATCGCCATTTGCAGATATTTCACCAAAATTAACCAAAGGTCAGCAAGATCTGTTATGATTTTTTTTCTTTTCTGTTAACAATATTGTCTTGTCATGATTTGTTGTCATATATTTCTTTACTTTAAACCATACTCCCTATATAACAAACATTTCAGATTGGCATTTATTATTTATAAAAAGGACAGTTCTTCATTGTATTATAATTTTAAACAATTAATAATTAGTAATATTGTGGGGTATGCAGAAGCCTCAAAGTCTTTAACTTTAAGTAGGTGATGTAGTCTACAAGTAGGCAGTTAAGTATCATGCATTCAATAATTGTCAATATGCTTTTATTTTTTGTTAACTCCTTCTTTGAAAATGATTCATTTTCTAAATTATTTATGTTAGGTTGTCATTAGGTTGTAATTGTAATGTAGTGTAGGTGTTTTGCCTTGATTTTGTGAATCATAGTTTGCTTCTACACAAACTCCAGAGATATGGGATTCAAGGCACCACTAAAACATGGATCTCTAGCTTCCTCAGCCACCGACGCCAAGCAGTAGTGGTGGGCGGTACAAGCTCCTCCTTTGTCGATGTGAAGTCAGGGGTCCCCCAGGGATCAGTCCTGGGCCCCTGTTTGTTCCTAGCATACATTAATGACCTACCGGAGAAACTGACATCACAGGCAAGACTGTTTGCAGATGACACAGCAGTGTATAGGACGATCGCCAACAGATCTGACCAGGACCAGCTACAACAGGATCTCAATCTGTTAGCTGAGTGGGAGATGAGCTGGGACATGGAATTTCACCCTGCCAAGTGCCAGACACTATCAATCTCTAGAAGTTGTACTCCTCTACACTACCAATACGAACTGCACGGCCATATACTTGAGCAAGTTTCCTCCGTAAAGTACCTGGGTGTTACCATTCAAAGAGAGGTCCGCTGGGACGAGCATATTAACAATGTATGTAACCAAGCAAACAAGACCCTAGGGTTCTTAAGGCGAAATCTAAAGATTGGCAATACAACAGGATCTCAATCTGTTAGCTGAGTGGGAGATGAGCTGGGACATGGAATTTCACCCTGCCAAGTGCCAGACACTATCAATCTCTAGAAGTTGTACTCCTCTACACTACCAATACGAACTGCACGGCCATATACTTGAGCAAGTTTCCTCCGTAAAGTACCTGGGTGTTACCATTCAAAGAGAGGTCCGCTGGGACAAGCATATTAACAATGTATGTAACCAAGCAAACAAGACCCTAGGGTTCTTAAGGCAAAATCTAAAGATTGGCAACTCCTGTGTGAAAGAAAGAGCATATAAAGCCTTTATCCGTCCGATTTTAGATTATGCATCTTCAGTCTGGGACCCATTTACCCAGAAGAGCATTGACAGGTTGGAGGCGGTCCAGCGACAAGCAGCACGCTTTGTCCTAAACCGCTACAGGAATACCTCTAGTGTTGGCAGCATGCTAGAAACACTAGGCTGGTCACCATTGGAGAAACGACGACGACAATCCAGGCTCTCCATGATGTACAAGATAAATCATGGGCTGGTCCACTGTTCCAGTATTAAACAGAAACTCGTCCCTCTCCCCCATAGACAGCGACGAGGCCATGACAGGCAATTCAGGCTCATACCAGCAAGAAGCCAGTATAAGAGCTGCTCATTCCTGCCCAAGACAATCAGGGACTGGAACCATCTTTCAAAAGGAACGGTTGAGGCGACAACACTAGACTAGACACATTTTTACTATTATTGCCTCAAGCCTTCAAACTCCTAGTGCATGATTTCCTCATCAACACCAAGAACAGAAACATTGCAAATCCCATCTACATGCATAGGAGCCAAAATGATCAATAAATTGATCGTGGGCCCTTAAGATATAGAAGAAGAAGAAGTTAAAGGCCCGTAATGTAGGTAAAAGGTTGGAAATAAGTAGGCATATTTGAAGTATTTGTTAGGCCTATACTATTTAGAATCCACTCTTTAAATTCTTTGGAATTAAAAATTATCATTCATCTTATTGGATTGAAACTATAATATAGATGACATTCACAATTTGAATTATGTTTCGACATTCACAATTTGAATTATGTTTCGTTTAAAAAAAAAGCAACTTCTTTTCAACTGTTGTGATTGTTAACTAGTTAAACACATATGTAGTTGACCAAGTCTACCAAATAATAATTGCGCATGAACTCTAAAGGAATGCCTGAATAGGTTGAAGAAAATTTAACAATTGATTTGTCTATAGTCCATAGGCCTAACATCTTTTTATGATTTGTGAGGTGACAAAAGTTAAAATAAATTATTAAATAGTTAATTTGGCCTACCAATAATTCTTCATTATAACCTACTTACCTCACCTAATGATTTATTTTGTTTATTTTCCAGAGGAAATCGCTGAAAGAATAGGTTCAGAACTCAAGCGGATGCAAAGACGAAAACAGTTGTTTCTTCCTAGATCTCACAGTCCACCGCTCTCTACTTGTTCCTTACTTGGTCGGCAGAGCCCACCACTCACTCTAGAAGTTTTGACTAATGTTAATTCTAACAGCGACTTTCCTTCAACATCGTCACAGTCTGCCTCAGGCACATGCTCTCCCAAACAGAAAGATGTTCCTCTTTTCACATTCAAGCAAGTGACAATGATATGTGAGAGAATGGTTAGAGAGCATGAAGAGAAAATCAGGGAGAACTATGACAAAGTTCTTAGTAATAAATTGTCAGGTAAATCATTTGCAATTTAAATTTAATTAACAGGTATTGATATTTTTATGTGTAGTTACTAAGGTTTAAGATGAGATAGATTCTTCCTTTGTCCAAAAACATAGAAATGTTTTTTCATAACATTATACATATTAATTTTCAGCATATAAATACATATTTTTTAACTACATCAGCATTATAAAATGATAACACTTTTGACACGATATCTAAAGTATTTCTCTAGCATAGAAATCAGCCTTAAATGACTCCTTTAGTGGCAATAATGACATAAACTCTTTTAACACTTAAATATTGACATACCCTCAGGATCTTATATAATTTATTAATATAATCTTAGTTTTAATTTTTTTTCATTTATTATAATTTACTATGTGACGCTATTTTGAAAGGATATCAATAATTATTTTGTTGCGTTTGCAAATATTTATTTTTGTCTTCAATTTTAAAATGTGTCTTTGGGATAATAATAAAGTCAATAGAAATATTTAATATTTCTGTACCTTTTTTAATATTCTAGAACAATATGAGGCATTTCTCAAATTCAACCATGATCAGCTCCAGAAACGTTTTGGAAATGCACCAATGAGCTGTAAGTTTTTTGTTTGTTGATTTACCTTTTTTAAATTCCCATATTTAAGAGCTACATATTATTAATTATGTTACTGGTACAGTTGTTCGTCAGTCGGGAGTTGACTATGACCACTTTAATCATTAGGTTCCAGTACAATCTAATCAAGTGCAGGGCTTTACAAAATTTGACTTTTTTATAAAATAATGCAAATTTATTAATATCTAATGTAAAGAAAACCAGGTTATTATCTGAAGATTGTTAAAGAGTGCATTTTTAAGATGTATTCAAAATATTGGTAGGACAATATATTTATAGGTTATTATTTTGCTTTATATTAACTTGATTTGAATATATTGACCGATAATACCCCTAGTGCCTGAGACGTCGATGTACACAAACTGTGTACGGCACAATCTCACAGAAAGTCATTCTGTGCATAAAGTGCTCTGTCCATGTTGTATAATTTGAAGATGTATAAAAACTGATTTATGAAGCAGTGAATTTTAAGACTCTTTCCGTTGATGGTATGAATTTTGAAATATAAACATTTCTGTTTTTAAAAAAAATATATCACTTGACTTCACCATTTTTCTTTTTGCCATTTACATTTCAGATGTTTCCTAATATGAGTGTGTCATCTACCAAGTTACTGTTGTCAGACTAAAGCAGGGAGACTATAGAAAACTCTACAATAAACACCCAGATGTCATATACAATGCTGCATTTTTAACTGTTCTCCATTATTTCTCAAGTGTGTTTTCGGTTCAAAAGGGAATTTAAAAAGCAGACTACTATAGTTTATGTATTTAACTTCTCATTATTAGTTTCGGCTTGTGTTTTCTTACACTGAACCTTCGGAAAGAAATCTTGGTTAACTCTGGCAACACTTAGCAGTCTGCTTCACTTCATCCCATTTCAAATTTACGCCTAGAGGACTTGGACAAAACTTTTTGACTAACATTTACATAATCTAGATTTAGTTTACTCATTTATACACTCTTTTAAAAGACTTTCATTCAGATGTTGTTTTGAGCAACTCGAGGAAAAGTGTTACAAGTTGTTTTTTTTTCTCTACATGAGATGTATTGTGCATTTTTCAACAAAAATTCTGGCAGCCACATAATATGGCACTGACTTGATTTAAAATTTCCAACTGTATCCGTGTTAGAACACCGCTGTGGGATGCACTGACATTTTTTTTGTTCAGTTAAAGATTGAGATGGTTGGATGATATTATTTTGAAAATAGAAATCTGGCATTAGATGGATCTTGTGCCGTATATGAAAAAAAAAATTAATATTTAATCAATTTAACAGGATATCAGTGATGACAATTGAAAGTTGTGTTGTATATATTTTGCTTTTTGATTTCAAATAAAATAACTTGGGCATCAGTCTCAAATACAGTGTTAAATGAACTGGTTCACCAGTATTTGAAGACTAACATACACTGTCTTTGAAGTGCTGACAACCATTGGACGAAGGCACTCGTTCCCTTTTTAGATGCTATTTTTCTGATTAAATGATTTAAGTTCACAAGTAACGTAAAGAACTCATTTTTTAAATGAACATTTTCAGCACTGACTTTGAGATGTACTTCATGTTTGTGGCAAGATTTAGTCATCATTGATTATTTTTTGGTATTATTTTAGTCACCTGCATTGAAAAATTAATTTTTAAAATTCATTTGTCATCATCTAGTAAAATGTCAATTTTGGGTGGTGTTTATAATTATATTTGGACGTCTTATTCTCTTTTTAATAATGCCTTTGACCAGTTAAATACTTGATTTAAAAAATATGTGGATTATGATTGAATTTTTTAAAAAAGCCTCAATACTTTTGTCTTGGTCATGAAGAAATACTTATTACTTATTGGAATATAAATCTTACCTCAACAGACGGAAAGATTGCATTTTTAAAAAAAGATTATGGTAAAGATCGTTCCATTACATTAACTTGATGTGTGAATGACCATAATGATAGTGACTTTGATTTTAATTGGTTTTAGCCATTGTATGGTTGCTCAGTGTGCATCATTACTTTAAAGTAACAATGTTCCTAACTATGCTTTTACCATTTCATTTTTTGTTTTGACAATATTGTACCATATGTATGACATACCCACTCAATGAGTGCTAGTTATAATCCTGCTGTTACAAGATTCCATTGTTAGAGGTACAGCTGCCTTGATTTTTTAAACTATTGGTACTTCGGTGGACCAAGTTTTATAATATAAATCCAAAACAAACAAAAAAGAAGCATTTTCTAACCTAAAACTTTGTACCGGCATACATTCATTTCTGACTGTTCCTTAGTTGGATAATTTCATTTTATGAGTTTATTTGGGGATAATTTCATTTTATGAGTTTATTTGGAAGCTGTACATTTCTGATTTCTGATATCCATTTTCAGAGTTAGACTAGTGTTAGGAAGAATAAATGTGCAGTTCACATACAAAGTTTTGGCTAGTAATAGTAATGTCATTGGTGATGTGTTAGAGAAGCTATTCCTCCAAAGTGTGAAGCATTTTTGCAATTATTTAATTTTTTAAGTTTAAAGTAAGCAGCTAAAAACTGGCAATGGGTCTGAAGTGCTCGCTCGCTCTCTCTCTCTCTCTCTTTTCCCTCCCCTGTAAATTAGTGTAAATATCCTAATCAGGCTACCAGTATTCTAAACAAATTATTGCGTTTTCTTATTCTTTGTCACCATGATTAAGGTGTGGACTTAACAATACCACATTCTGGCTCACAGGATTTGTACAAGATGAAAATATTGAAAACACTACTGCCGAAGCGGATTAGGTTTAAAGACTCTTTACAAAAAAATCTGTTTCATTGGGAACAGTCCATATGTGCCCTAATTTTCTTACGGCATATATCGAGAGGTTAACATTTGTTAAAATGCCTGCATCTGCCAAATATTCTGAGTGAACAATTGCCATTTTTTTGTTGATTTAAGTCTTTTTCCCCCTCTAATGATGAGTATCATGTCTGAATAAAAATAAGTTTATAATTATATAAGATAATGTGTTTCAATGTTTCCAATAAAAGTTTATTTGCCTGTTATGTAGCATATCGCAATGGGCTCGCTTTTCAAAACTTAGCTTATCAGACCCAACCGCAGCTAGTTTTTCAATTGGTTGTTTTAAGTTAAGTTGCAATTTAAATTTTAGAATTTTTTAACAAAGCTAGGGTCACGGTTAACAGAAAAAATAAATATTGTAACTTCAGTTTTGTCTGACAATTTTTCCATCTTAACATTTTAAGATGTGCATTTTAACTTGCTAGGGTGAAGTTACAAATGATTTATTAGTAAAAGATTATGCAGAGCAATTTATTGAAAGAGGCAAATTATTAACTAGCACTGATTTTGTAACAAGAAATTCAATGTTAAAAGTGACACAATCTAATTTCTATCCATTAAGTTCATTAAGCTGCCTACTAATAAAGAACACCACATAATTTCAATGTTTTATTATGTGATGTGTATTTTGTATGAGTACTACATTCTCAGAATATTGATATTTGAATGCTTGCTAAGTGCTACTAATGTAGATGGGTATTCATTCATTCAATGATCAAGACTTCATATTTTGACAATAAAAATAAAAAAATCATAAACCATATTTGTGTTTTTTTCTTTGTGACAATTAGTACAAGGCTAGGTTATCAAAGTGTGGTTATTCTACTTTGGTCATATTTGACAGTGGAACAAGGCATGGTCAACCGGGGGCGGGGAATTGTTTGTCCCTCTCTTAACCCATTCAAGTAATGATAGAAAAATGTGGTCAAAAGTTTCTTAAAATTTTTCAGATGTAAGGGGCATTCGGGAAATGGCAGGAAATCTGTTGGTACCAAAATAAGGCATGGTATCACCCAGGTTCAGCTATTGACTCAGCCCCCCTACAAATTCATTCAGGCTGTTTGCCCCCTGGAATTATGATTTGGGCTAATTAGTGTCACCCCTGGAATCTATAAAGCCCAGCTGTACATACCCGGTACCAAACTAAAGGAACATTTTATTTTGTAAGTTCGAGAGAGAAAATCAATTTTAATTATAAACATTTGCTTTTTGTATACGGTATAAGTATAAGAAGGTACCGGTACTGTCATGTTGATCAGGGAGAGAGCAGAAATTGAGTATGTCCGAAAGAAAATTAAGCCCCTTTCTTACAAAATACAGTGTTGTTTAAATTATAATTTAAATGATTGGGGAAGGAACATGTGAATTGATATCCATGACAATTTTTTTTTGGGGGGGGGGGGGCGGTGGGTTAGAAATTTATGTTTAATTTAAATGATTGGGGAAGGAACATGTGAATTGATATCCATGACAATTTTTTTTTGGGGGGGGGGGGCGGTGGGTTAGAAATTTATGTTTGAAAGGCCTCTGATTAATTGGAAACAAAGATATTTTTGCTAACTTAAACAGATAAAGTAATTGATAAGAATAATTGTGACATAAATGTGCAATATGACTTTTAAATACCGTAATGAAAGATAAGAAATGTGTTGGGCACTTACTTCATAATGATAAAGTCAACTACTTTTTACAAATTATTGTTTTAATTTGAAAAAATCTCTCACCCTCCCACATTAAACAGCTAGTGCCTTCACGTTGCTAAAAACCTCCCCCCCCCCCCCCCCCCAATGATAATACAACCGTTAATGATCAGTAGGTCACCAGTGGCCTCCACTGACATCTTGACTGACATCTGCGTAACAATCTTGCATTGCATTTGGGTCCACTAATTTTGAGTCAAAAATGAGAACCAAGATTTGACCACACACAAACAAGCGGACAGAGCAACCTAAGACTTTATGGGCACCCCTGGCTTTGTTAGTCATATGACAGTAACAACTCTGACGTTTTGGGGACATTTATTTTATACTTTTTAGTTTTAGTACATTTTTTTAAAAGTGTGTTTGAACAAAAACGGTTGATATTATTTCATTCACAATAAACTTATTCTTTTTAAAAAATCAATTGACAACGAAATCGATTTAAAAAAAATATACGTCAATGAAATGTTATAGTTTAGTTTTATGCTGTTTAGATATTCATTATTGTTTTATGAATTATTGTGCGTATTAAGAATGTATAAAATTGCGATACAGCTTTTTAAGTAAATTTTATCCAGAGTTAATCAAATTCTTAATTCCACTTTTTACAAATGAAAAAAATAAAAGATAATTCAGTGAATTTCCCTATATTTAAGAAAAATATAATTTGCTGCTTTAAAATAAATGAAATAGCTCGGCTCTTTCCGTTAAATTTTAAGGTTTGCGGGTTACACCTTCTTTATAACTGCCAATTCCCCCTCAATTCAAATTATGACGTTGAAATAATATTTTGTTTTCTTGCATATGCAAATTGGAATTTTATAATTTATTAAGGGGGACATAAATGAAGGTATTTCCGCATCCGTTTTTTTTTCTTCTGCTACAGAAAGAAATTCTAAGTTTTGACAGTTTATGTGTTTAGTCTATTCTTTTTACCAAGTACTGAGAATAATGAGACAGGAAATACAAATTTTGGTGGTTCGTAAATTTAGATGGTAAGATAAAAAAAGGATATAACTTATACACAGTTAAAGAATAATAAATTAATAATTTAAGTAATAGTAAAATTTTAAAATAGCTACATTTACATCAACAGAAATTTGGGATATTGTCATTCAATCATTGTCCAATTTATTGAATTATTCACGTTGTTAATTGCCATCAATTATAAATAATACATAATTTTAAATCACTAGCAACAAGCTTTGTAAAAACACTAATATCTTTCTATCTTTTATAGAAATGGAGTTATAATTTTTAAAAATTAAAAAAAATGTAAATTCCCTTATTTGTTTTTAACAAAAAATTGGGTAAGTTTTGAGTTAACGGCATGGGTTTTTGCCAAGCGTTGTCTCACCCTTAGCGCAGTAACTTCACTTTGGGGAATCCCAACACTGGACTTAGGGTGAATAGACCTACTTATTGAAGGAGCCGAACGATGTGTTGTAATATTCCAGTTCTTTAATGAGCATTACTCGCGTCAGTAAGGATACGGTTAATGTGAAGTATATTAAAATGAAATTTTCCATTAATTTGTATTAAAATTCAACTTACATGTTTCATAAGAAATGAAAAAAGAAACACATCCTTGCCGACACCCCAAGACCCAACACTAGTGGAAAAAAAAAGACGCCTGCCAAAAATTGCTGTGTTTTGATTTGTTGAAATCAAATTACCCGTATGTTGAAACTTCAGTTAAAAAAAAGGGAGATTACTGCTTAAATTGTATTTGGAATGATCTTCTAGGGAATGGGGAGGAGAGACCCCTCCCCAGAACCCCTCCTCAATTTAACAAAAAATATAAAATAAGAAAACAATGATGTGAATAAAACCATAACGAAGTGATTATACGCAGCCGACTGCGTATAACCCTGAGAGTTATACGCAGTCGGCAAGTTACGTGAGGTCTATATACTTCCTGTGTTACAGTATCGTTCGAGAAAGGTACTCATTATCAAGATGACCAGGTGGTCGAATGGTTTAAACTGAGCAAACCTGAAGTTGGTGGTTTGGAGTTCAATTCCAGTCAAGACTGAATGATACGTGTTAGTTTTATGTTTGTTCTCGAGATAGAACCAACAGCTCAGTTAATTGTTTCACTTTTGTTTTGGCTAAAAATTGTTAAAACATGATTAGAATTATAATCAGGGGTGGAGAGTAGCAGAAAAAAATAGCTGTAGGGGCAGGTAAGTAATACTTTCACACAGTTATAGTTTTGCATGGAAGCTGAAAACTGTTACATTTAGGTCATCCCCCCCCCCCCCCCCCCCAAAAAAAAAAAAAATAATAAATTATATGAGTTTTTATAAATAAATAGAATGTATTTCCTGAATTAGTCAGTGAAACCAACCACATAGTCATAGGAACATATAAAAACCTAATAAATCAGTATCAGAATACAGAACTAGACTTAAACTAAGGAAATATCTTAAGGCAGTGGTTCTCAACCTTTCCAATGCTGCAACCCTTTAATATAGTTCCTTACGTTGTCATTCGACCACCAAAGGGGTCGCGACCCACAGGTTGAGAACCGCTGCCTTAAGGCAAAATCATCTTCTTAGATTTAGACTCTAAGAAATTTAGACTTTGACTTAGACTTATAATTATAATTTATAAGATACAAGCAATAATACTAATAATAGCACTAATACTAATACTATTATTCAAAATTAATTAAAATTAATTCAATTAAAATTTTACCACGTCTTACGTTAAACACATGAAAAGTTCTAGTACAAAACAACCCATCATGCGGCTCATTACGCTTAATACTTTTTTTGAAATTGCCAAACTAGCGGTAATAAACATTATTTGGCTAAATTCCCAGCCGACTGCGAATAACCCTGAGAGTTATACGCTGTCGGCTGGGAATAACTCTCAGGGTTATGCGCAGCCGACTGCGTATAACGCTTCCCAAACCATAAACAGAAAAATTGGAAAAGTTATTATTTATAAAGGGAGGAAAAAAAATAAAAACAACTAAAATCCCCCATTCCTGTACTGTTAAGTGATTAAAAAGTAATGATGACGAGGATGTTCTCGTTCTACATTAACATGTCATTTTATGGGTGTGCTCTACTGAATTTTTATTGAACAATTACCTGTTATCAATAGCGATTAGTTTTTTTTGGTAAATAAATTGATTTGCACTGGTAACCCAGTTTATTATTTTATAATAACTCAATTTAAAATAAAATCTAATAATTATAAACACCAATGCATATTTTTAATTAGATTTGATGCATTTACCTGAAATTATGAATTTGGGAGAGTGGGATGGATAGCCCTTACCCTTAAAACTAATAGTGATACTAATATTCAACATTAATCCAGAGGAAAGTTTGGGGAATCCTAGATTAAAGTTAATTTTAAACTAACGGCATCTTTAGAACTTTACATCATTTAAAAAGATGTTGATGTCAACTCCTAAGTCTACTTGTATTGATTAGTTTGTCAAGTTCTTTCACACGTTGAATGTGTCGTACTATTCTTACTATCACTGAATAAGTTCTTTTCATAATAATTATAACTTTAACATCTAAGTATATACTATACACATAAACACATGAATGTAGCGCAGCTCGCTATCAGACATATACAATACACATCCTACTTCCACAAAGTTCCACTCAAGACTGCCGCACGACTAAAACATACATCACAATACTGTCTAGACGTTCTAGAGACAAGCGCGGTAAGAGCGTTCACTATCCAATAAACCTCACAAACACCCACCCCACGTAATGAACATAATACCCAGTTGTAACAATTACTAATGAACTCCCATACTTGATAGTTGATATAATATTTTAGCATAAAAAAATTAAATTAGCATATTTTATTAATTCTCTGCTTATTTTATTATTTATAGGGTATGCTGCTATTAACATTAAATGATACACCGCCCCACAGGTTTTTGTCACGTGGTATGAATTAATCCTTTTGTTAATTATACGAAATATTTTCAGTGGGAACTTGTGAAAACAAAACTGTCACTGAAGTCACATATTTTTAAAACACAGTCTCTCTGAATTCTATTTTGACTTATTATTTATACAGATTGGATGCAAAAGGTCAGGGTCTGTAAACCTTCAGAATGGGTAAGAGGAAACAGACAGCCCCAAAGTATGCTGACCAAGTGAAGCGCCAACAGCTTCAATGGAATATGTCAGATCAGATGAACAGCTCAGGCTCGCAGTCATTCATATGTGACGAGTCAATACTGAATGAAGATGTTAATCAGCCAGAGGGTGCCGCTGAGACTGAACCAAGCTCTGCAAGCCAAATTAAAATTATCAATGTTAACTCACAAACACCACTGCATGCACTGTGCGTGGATACTTTTTATCAGAACCTAGCCTCTTGCCATTCCGCACTGACACTACAAAAATGGAACCACCCTGAGATGAAAGATAAAGGACGGTTATTAAAATTTGGTCAGTTTAAAGTGACTCTTTTGCCCCGCCCACTGCTCACACCGCTTCCGGATCAGCTGCCGGAGTTTGAAACCTGTTGGCTCTACCTGGGACAGGACGATGAATCCAGCATGCTTTATTTTGAAACTGAAGTCAACACTGAGCATGTAGCTCAGCAGAAAAAGTCTAAGTCCCGTCAGTCCAAATTCGGTGTATTTTGGTTTGTTTACCTGAGTGTTCCAGTGGCTGTTTTATCTAATCTCAAGCATAAGTCTTTTTTGGTATGTATGGCAAATGCAAAGGTGAAACACGTTTTCCTCTAGCATGGCTTATTTAGGTTGTGGAATATACATTAACTTTTTTTTTTAGACTTTCCCCAATCAACTTTCTTTCATGTTGAAATGTTTATGTGATTGGACTGCAGAAAAAATCAGCAGCATTTTAAGAAGATCTTTTTAAAGAATGCTTTATTACTTTTTTTAGCTTTTGAAAAATTGTCTTGATTTTTAAAACAATTCATTCATTCAAATTAATAATCCATTCGATTAAAAGACATCAATAAAAAAAAACCCAACTAATTTATCATTGTAAACCATCAGCTCCAATGTGACAGTTTTGATACAAATCACAAACAGTTTGAGGTCACTGTTTATGGAACTGAAGGCATTGTCCTCAAGCTGTCACATCCGAGTGAATGCCTCCGAATTAAAACACCCCAGGTTGCAGTACAGAGGTTAATGGAATATTTCTATAACCATTCTCTGCCTTACAGTAAGTTTTTAATTTATGAAGAAAACACAGAACTACTTGTGCCAGAGGATAACTTAGAATAGCCAGTTTTTATAAGTGAAGATGAAAATTGTTGATAACTTAGAATAGCCAGTTTTTATAAGTGAAGATGAAAATTGTTGATACCTTAGAATAGCCAGTTTTTATAATTGAAGATAGAAATTGTTGATACCTTAGAATAGCCAGTTTTTATAAGTGAAGATGAAAATTGTTGATAACTTAGAATAGCCAATTTTTATAAGTGATGATAAAAATTGTTGATAACTTAGAATAACCAGTTTTTATAAGTGAAGATGAAAATTGTTGATAACTTAGAGTAGCCAGTTTTTATAACTGAAGATAGAAATTGTTGATACCTTAGAATAGCCACTTTTTATAAGTCTAGATGACAATTGTTGACAACTTAGAATAGCCAGTTTTTATAAGCCAGGATAAGAACATTAGAACATATTTAGTGAAAGTTATGTGAGCTGTGTTTAAGGTTGGAAGGGAGAAAAAAAAGAATACTTTAAAGATAAATAAAAATTATCGTTAATTACTCATAAAATTCAGACCATTACAATCTTATGAGAGCATAATGAATCTTTGCCGTGTCTACCTTAGAAACTCTTTTTGAACAAATAATTTTTCAATAAAATGCTATTTTCCCCCCATCAGAGTTTGAAGGCATAGAAAGAACGACAGGCCATGATTTTTTTCATCTGTATGAAAGTGTCATGGCTCTCCACCATCAGAGGCTGTTGCGTGATGATAGGTGGCCGCAAGAGGTGGATGGGATCCACCACAGCTGTCTGAAGCCTGTACTCAGACATTATCAAAAAGAGAGTGTTGCTTGGATGCTGAGACAGGAGAAAGCACAAAAAGTTGCAGAAAATGGTGGGTACCCATTCATACGATCAGCATTGTAGTATTGTATACAACTGAATTTTGAACAACGTATATAGAGTAAACAGAACAGAGTCTGCGCTATAACATTGTTTTATAATCTCAAAAAAGCATTACCCATTCACACATAAAGTATTTTTTGACGAGAAAGTGCTTCACTAACAGTGCAGCAGGTGCTCTGAAAATTCAAAATCAAAGCAAAGAAATTGGGTCTGAGTAGGTGTCACAGCGACTGTGATGGGAGGAGGGGGGGTTGGTCAACTCCTCTGTCACCTCTCTGCACGTGCTGCACTACTCCATAACCCGCCTCAATCCTCAGTTAAAGTAATGAACCTTCTGCCTGGTGGGTGAGTGAGTGAGTGCACGCTGGGAATGTTGTGAATCACTTGTTTTACCTAAACCACATGCAAAACTGACATCATTTTTGACTGACTCTAGTTTCCACTTCAAAGTCATCTGTGAGTCTACCTTCGTTGACCACCCTTCATGTCATTTCTTCATAAGAGCTCTGAATGATCCTGACTAGTTTGCCTGGTACTCTCTAGTGCCGAAGAAGTTTCAACAAGGTTTGTTGGTCCAGGCTATCAAAAACCTTTTCGTAGTCTATAAAATTTATATATGGGGGGAGTTCCATTCGATGGACTGTTCTACAATGATTCTTAGTGTTGCAATTTGATCTGTGCATGATCGGTTTTGGCGGAAGCCAGCCTGTTGATCTCGTAGCTGCATGTCGACCTGGTCTTTCATTCTTTAAAAAAAAATTCTGTTGAAGACCTTTCCTGGTACAGACAGCAGTGTAATTCCTCTGTGATTTGCACAGTTGCCGAGATCCCCTTTTTTTGGGATCTTGATGAGGTATCCTTCTTTCCAATCTTTTGGAACTCTCTCTTCTTGCCACATCATTTTTAGACCGTAGTAATTTCACATTTAACAAGTTCAAGGTTGTAAGTTTTCTTTTCCACTTGCTCATTTAAAAAAAAAAAAAAAAGAAAGATTTAAAAATCTTTATAAAATCTCTTCAGAACTGCATCCACTCTACTGTGGCGCCAAGCTGCAAGACGGGACTGTACTTTACTATAACAAATATGGAGGATGGTAAGTGTGTTATTTAAGGACTGTCCACAGTAATAAAGTGTGAGGAAAAAGCAAACATAACCGAACGGCTGCATGTCTACAGGAAGGAGTTAAAGTCTACAGGAAGGGGTCAATGTCTACAGGAAGGGGTTAAAGTCTACAGGATACAGGAAGGGGTCAATGTCTACAGGAAGGGGTTAAAGTCTACAGGAAGGGGTCAATGTCTACAGGAAGGGGTCAATGTCTACAGGAAGGGGTCAATGTCTACAGGAAGGGGTTAAAGTCTACTGGAAGGGGTTAATGTCTACAGGAAGGGGTTAAAGTCTACAGGAAAGGGTTAATGTCTACAGGAAGGGGTTACAGTCTATAATAAGGGGTTAATGTCTACAGGAAAGGGTTAAAGTCTATAGGAAGGGGTCTCTCCCACTCTTTGTTACACCACTTGATCCTTAGATGAGAATTAGTCTTAATCTAATCCTATGAAGCCTATAACCGCTGTTTAGTATTGATATCATCTGATTAATTTGCATAAAAAATATTCTCATTGTGCTTAAAATAGCTGTTCCTTTTTTTTCATCTTTTATCTTCAGCCTCGTCAAAGAAAGGCCCAAAGCCCTACCCAATTTACCAGGTGGTATCCTGGCCGATGAGATGGGGCTCGGTAAAACTGTCGAGGTCCTTTGCTGTATGCTCCTTCATCCCAGGTCAGACATCTCACTGCCAGAAGAGCTCCCCGTCCTCGACGATTCTCTGAGTGATAGTGATGAAAACACTTCCGCGGCCGACGACCCTCTTGCCTTAAAGCAGAACGGTGGCCATGACTCAACGGGGAAAACGGGTGACTCTGAATCTCACACCGAGGCTGAGTCGGACGGCCGACAGCAAAGAGATGTTTTTGAAAATAGCTCCACGTCGGACGAGCCTGGGGCGGCAACCATAAACACACATGCGCTGACGGGACGGCCACCTAATGACCTCCCGTCTCTAGCTGTCACTCAGGCCAGTGGTGTTGTTGGCAAGGAGGGCTCATTGCCTTTGAATGAGACGAGAGACTCAAGTGTCAGTGTCGACTGCCAAGACTCACAGAATCTCACAGCAGGTAAATCAGTTCAAGAAAGATTGGAGGCGGCTGATGGTAAAAATGACAACACCAACATTTTATTATCAAGCCTAATGTCAAAAGGAGAACATTACGTCATAGAAGTAGATGGAGTCAGACAGAAAGGCAGCATTGGAAGTTTATCTAATGGCAGCAACACCAGAGTCATTTCTGTAAAAAGCTTTAATCCATCACCAGCGCAGCATGCCGCTCCCATCCGCCTGGAGCCCCACCCCGATTCCTCATCACCACTGGGCTCAGATGAACTATCGAAAAACGATCCCAGCCTCAAAGGCAAGAGAAAACGAAAAGGGTACGAGTACGTGCCCGTGTCCGATGAAGAGCCCGGCTATTTCTCCACAAAACTATCAGCCCAAAAACAGTTCTTTGAATGCAACTGCGGTCAGCTTGATAGTGAAGCTGAGACCGTGAAGCGCGGGTTGCACACCGTCAAGTGCAATTTATGCGGCATGTCACAGCATGCTGAGTGCATGAACTATGATCTCAAAGACCCTTACAGAGGAGAGTATTTATGTCCACACTGCCATGCTCTGCATGTAAGTTCTTGCTCTTATGTCTTTATGTTTATTTAATAACATAATTGAGTCGGCATACACATTTTTAGATTATCTGTGAATAAATATTAATTATTTATTTCTTTTCTTTGGAAAATATAATTTTTTAAACAAAATTGAAAATACTTTTTGGGGTGTATGGTTATACCATCAGCTTTGTATTGTAAGTGTAAAATAATAATTAGAAAAAAATTAAATTTTTCTTTAACATGGTATTGATTTCAGTTTGTATAAATCCGCACAGTATTACTACTATTAGAGAACATTTAAATGATTTTAAGAAAGAAATAAAAAAGTTGGTTAAATGTTTTTTTTCAAGTTGCAGAATGTTATTATTAAGCACGTCATGTGACATCATCTCTTAAAGTATTGTTGAATCATAAATGAATAACTTGACAGAGCACACATCTCACCCACCAGTGTAAGTCACTGGCGGCAGTTTATATGACGGTAACAATTTTTTTACACTCTTGAGTGTGTGTGTGTGTCTCGAGACACCTTAACAATCCAAATTCTTCTCTCATGTCAAGAGGACTGCTGACTTCTCTGACTGATAGGCATTTGCAGACCAGGGTGACTGCCATCTTATGACTTCTCTGACTGAGAGGTATTTTCAGGGTTTTCCTCCACTCTCAGCACAGCCGCCTTGGTTGATTGATAAGCCCATTCCACCAAGCTATTTGCCTAATGCTTGGGATGACTCCAGAGCTATTTGCCTAATGCTGGAAATGAATCCAGGGCTATTTGCCTAATGCTGGGAATGACTCCAGAGCTATCTGCCTAATGCTGGGAATGAGTCCAGAGCTATCTGCCTAATGCTGGGAATGACTCCAGACTATTTGCCTATTGCTGGGAATGACTCCAGAGCTATTTGCCTAATGCTTGGGATGACTCCAGAGCTATTTGCCTAATGCTTGGTATGACTCCAGAGCTATCTGCCTAATGCTGGGAATGACTCCAGAGCTATTTGTCTAATGCTGAGAATGACTCCAGAGCTATTTTCCTAATGCTTGGTATGACTCCAGAGCTATTTGCCTAATGTTTGGAATGACTCCAGAGCTATTTGCCTAATGCTTGGTATGACTTCAGAGCTATCTGCCTAATGCTGGGAATGACTCCAGAGCTATTTGCCTAATGCTTGGGAATGACTCCAGAGCTATTTGCCTAATGCTTGGGATGACTCCAGAGCTATTTGGCTAATGCTGGGAATGACTCCAGAGCTATTGAAGTTAAAGGTTATATGGCAATACAGTCAACCATTGTGCCCATTACTCAACCTTTTGCCTTGTGATTTTTTTAAAAACATGATAAAACAATTTTGAACACCAATAACTCAGCTGCACTCCCATGATTTCTCTAAATGACAATGTGTTTCAGACCACAATAAAATCAGGGGCAACTCTGATAATCTCCCCCTATTCCATATGCCACCAGTGGCTTGAAGAAATCAATAAACACATCAAAGAACGCAGCATCAAAGTATACGTAAGTCATTGAAAGTGGTTTTTTGGCTTATTCTTTGCAACTCAGTGGGTGTAGAAATTTGTCGCTTATATTGTAATACCTGTTGTTTTTAGGAGATATATTTACTTATGAAGTCAAAAGATTGCTTAAATTCACTGGGGCCTATAAATTTAAACATATTATTTGCTGATCAACTATCCTGACTGCGATAAACACAACTCTCATTTATGAAAAATTCCTATTTTGTTTCAGTTTGTTAACAATTTCACCTTTAAATTGCTGATAACAATTTCACCTTTAAATTGCTGATTCAAAAGCAGCTTTGCTGTCAGGATTTTTAGCTGCAGTTTTTATGACAATAAGATTTTGAGTATTTTGAATCTCTCATCTTAACTTTCAGAAGGCTCTAAATGCCTTTATTTTAAATAGAAAATGTAGAACAACCTTCAAAAGGCTAGATAAGTTGTAACACAAAATTCACTTTCCTGAAAAATGAGTTTGGTTGGACTTAGTACATTTTGCAAGCGGGCTCCTCATGTATTGTGCCTTCTGTCTTCATGTGCTGTCTCTTCATGTATTGTGTCTTAATGTATTGAGTCTTAAAGTTTGTCTTAAAATTAAATATTTGTTTTTACTGTAACTCTCTTAACGTTAAAGTCAGCTTGTTCAAATTGTAGAGACCGAGGTAATAGAGCCTCAAGGGTACAAGATTAAAAGTTATGAAAAATTTTGACAATAATTCATTTTCATTAAGTCAATGTTATTTTAACAAAAAAATTAAAGAGGATATGGGGATAATATGGGGATATGGGTTAGCTGTCAATCTTGAAGAAAAAAAAGAAGCCATATAGGCTAATGCATACTGTTGTTTTTAAGGGGGTGTTGGGTACTTAATATTGTAAAAAAAATGACCATTTATTTCATTTTCTACAATTATTAACCAGATCTACACAGGTGTGGCCAGATTGGGTTACATCCAGCCTCAGACCCTGGCACAGCAAGATATAGTGATCACGACCTATGATGTCCTGAGGAAAGAGTTGGACTACGTTAACCTCCCTCACACAAACAGTGAGTTTTCGTAGAGCTGTTGTACCATTTAGCAAACTTTCCAGACAAACCTATTAGCCGCTTCAGCTTTATCGCAGTCAAACCTTCTTGACAAACCTTTTATCTGCTTCAGCTTTATCGCAGTCAAACCATTTGTCTAAAAGCAGACGCTGTTATTTTTTGTTGTCTGCTCTTACATTAATAAAACATGCTATTTGTTTTTTCAAATAGGTGAGTCTGGGAGAAGATTTCGACACCCTAAACGCTTCCTTGCTACGCCGTCGCCCATGGTTGCGGTTGAGTGGTGGAGGGTGAGGAAAATATTTGCATTAACTTAAATTTTTAATATCACTTTTGCTAAACAACCCGTACATAATATCTTATTGTGTGGTCTTAAGGTAAGGTTTTAACAGTTGACTTTCTTAACACTACATTATCTCTAAAAATGTTGCCTATTCCTTGTTCAGGCTACAACCCCTATGGTAAGGTAGCTCCACAAAAAGGCTTCAATCCCCATGGTTAGGTAGCTCTTCAAAAAAGGCTACAACCCCTATGGTAAGGTAGCTTCACAAAAAAGGCTTCAACCCCTGTGGTAAGGTAGCTCCACAACAACCCCTGTGGATAGATGTGCAACCATGGTGCTTGGGTCTGTAGTAATTATTGGCCAACAATTATTATATCCAATCGTGCTAGATACTCAGACCTGTTTACCCTCAAACTCTTAAAATCGTACAATATCACAAAATTGTTCAATAAATTATCATAATAGTAACAAAAATAAACATACAGAATGTATAATGTATACACCTTAAAATCGTAAGAGTAAACAGGTCTGGATACTGCTAAAATTTTTTTTTGCTGTGATTAACTGTGAATAATTTCTTTTTAAAAAAAATATTTATTTTCAAACACTAGAGTTAATCTATCCACATTTCATGCATCAGAGCGTTGCGTTAAAATTGTATATTTCCTGTGAAAATGAGAGTTCATGCTATCTGCCGACATGGGAAATATTCCTTTGAACTCTTCTCATTGATCAAGGCAAACACCCTTTAAGCTTGTTCACTCAGCTTGCTGGGCCGATACGGAACCTTTTGAAACAATATCAGTTTCAGCTTTTCACCAACATTGGATCCTCATTGTAGTGTCAACAGCCCCCCTCTTCCCCTTCTCATGCCCTGCTGCACCCCTGATGGAAACAAAATGCACCAGTGGCTCTGTTGACTGTCATTATTATTGATAAGTTCTGATCTTTTAAGAAATACATATTTTTTTTTGGTGGCCGCAAATGTTTCTTAAATGATAACTCTTTTTGTTTCTCAAATTATAACTTTTTTTGTTTCTCAAACGATAACTTTTTTTGTTTCTCAAACGATAACTTTTTTTGTTTCTCAAATTATTACTTTTTTTTTTCTTAAATGATAACTTTTTTTGTTTCTCAAATTATAACTTATTTTGTTTCTCAAATTATAACTTTTTTTGTTTCTCAAACGATAACTTTTTTTGTTTCTCAAATTATAACTTTTTTTGTTTCTCAAACGATAACTTTTTTTGTTTCTCAAATTATAACTTTTTTTGTTTCTCAAACGATAACTTTTTTTGTTTCTCAAATTATAACTTTTTTTGTTTCTCAAACGATAACTTTTTTTGTTTCTCAAATTATAACTTTTTTTGTTTCTCAAACGATAACTTTTTTTGTTTCTCAAACTATAACTTTTTTTGTTTCTCAAACGATAACTTTTTTTTGTTTTTTGAACGATACATTTTTTTGGATTATTAAACAATAACTTTTTTGGATTCTGAAATGATAAATTTTTATTTTTATTAAATGATAACCCGTCGTTTCTGTCTGCAGATTTGCTTAGATGAAGCGCAGATGGTGGAATGTGTTTCAACAAAGGTGTGTGTGTGTGTCTTGAAATAATTTAAATTCAAGAAACAATGACTGCATATTTTAATGTATTCCTTCTAACTTTTATTTGTACCAGTAAATAAAGGATTCGTTACTTTTTGATCTTCTTTTTGGCGTTGTGCATTTTCAATGTTTAACGTCTAACAAATTGAAAAAATTAAAAAAAATTTATAAGCAACAATTATCTTTAATTATTTAAACAGAATAAAAGTCTTGTCAAAGTATACGTAAATTGGTTGTATAATTCATTTTTTTAAAATTCACCGAGCAGTTGTCGTTTAAAAATAAGGAAGTGGCTTTTCGTACCCGGGTACCAGAAATGAGAGGTTGGGATTAAAAAACTATTTAAAATTTTATTGTTGGGTTGGTAAGACAAAATGAGGTATCAAATGAAAGATAATTGAATGGACTATATGTTTGTAAACTTACTTTTTCAGTTTAACTAAAATAAACTACCACAACTATCATCCGAATAGCTTGAGACTAATGGTACCCGGGTGCGAATGGCGGTGCTGCTTGGTCTGGGTGTGAATAGTTGCAGCCTAAAAATAAATGAAACCTAATTATTTTTCTTTTTTTAAAATGACAAATTTAGACTGCTGAGATGGCATTGAAACTGAAAGCTGTAAATAGATGGTGTGTGACTGGTACACCACTGATGCGCAGCGTGGAAGGTAATTGTTATGTCAAATAAAGTAATTGATTATCCTCTTATTTGTGGACATCTCGAAGCATCCGATGGACGTAATGAATCAATCTGATGGATGTAATGAAACGATCTGAAGGACATAATGAATCAATCTGATGGATGTAATGAAACAATCTGATGGTTGTAATGAATCAATCTGATGGACGTAATGAAACAATCTGATGATTGTAATGAATCAATCTGATGGACGTAATGAAACAATCTGATGGTTGTAATGAAACAATCTGATGGATGTAATGAAACAATCTGATGGTTGTAATGAATCAATCTGATGGATGTAATGAAACAATCTGAAGGACGTAATGAATCAATCTGATGGATGTAATGAATCAATCTGATGGATGTAATGAATCAATCTGATGGATGTAATGAATCAATCTGATGGATGTAATGTGATTAAATGTTCATTTAAGTGAAAAACATTAAAAGCCCATTGTCAACATTTTAGTGATAACTTCTTGTAGACATATTTGGACTGTTGCTGTTTCTTGTAGACATATTTGGACTGTTGCTGTTTCTCGGTGTTGATCCATTCATGGTACAACAGTGGTTCCGTCTGCTCCTGTGGGAGCCGTTTTGCCACGGTTTCCCAGAGCCCATGCACCAGGCGCTCTCTCAGGTCTTGTGGAGGACTGCCAAGAAGGATGTCATAGACCAGGTGAGTCGATAAAAACAGGTAGTAGACTGCAGAGTACTTACCGATGGTCTGCCAAGCCTTTCGACAATAACTTGTTCATTGCAAATATTTACATTATCCTAAACCTCTGAGTAGTACAGCCTTCTCTGAATGGTGAAATACAACAAAGAAAAAATAATTGGTATGCATTTGCACCTCAACCATTGTAGAATAACACTTCAACCTTTGTTGAAAAGCGCCTGAAAACTTTGTTGAAAAGCACCTCAACCTTTGTTGAAAAGCACCTAAAAACTTTGTTGAAAAGCACCCAATGTTTTTTGAAAAGCCCCTCAAACTTTGTTGAAAAGCACCTCAACGTTTGTTGAAAAGCACCTCAACCTTTGTTGAAAAGCCCCTCAACCTTTGCTGAAAGCACCTCAACTAAAAACCTCTGATTTACCTAGTGACCAAAAGAAAGTATTAGTTGTTTCCAATTTAATGTTGTTCTTTGTCTTTATAGATTCTACTGCTATGCCAAAAGTCTCTGTTTCTATCACCAGATTAACCTACCATGTCAGACAGAAGAAATCCATTGGTTGACATTCTCCCCTATGGAGGAGCATTTCTACAGAAGACAGTATGAGATATATTTACGTAATGCATATTCAGTGAGTATGTGTTGTCACATAGTCCTTGTTGCTTAACCCTTCCCTGTGGTTCAGTTACTTTGCATTTCATAGGAGTTAAACCTTAGTACGTTGCTAATGCTCCTTTGGCTAATCCAAAACATAAAAACTGCTCCATGACAATTTGTGTCAGCCAGGTGTAGAGCTGCAATGTTATGTTCTGGGTCCATAAAGCCCCTGCGCCGTCTCAGTCCTCATCAGTGATGCTAGTACATGAGTGCCTTAAGTGTTTATGTTAAGATTTGATACACATTAACGTTGTACTAGTCTGGTCAACTGGTGAAATCTGGATTAGTGTGTTTTTTTCAACTTAGCATGGACGATCGATAATTGATTTGTGTTGTAAATAGTTGTAGTCTTGCAATTAAGGCTATCATTAAACAATAGTCACAGTTTTATTTCTAAATTTAAAAAAAAAATTTTGATCATTTATTTTCAATTTAATTCATTTAATTAAAAAAAAAAAAATGTGTTTTTGTTTTTGGAGGGGGTAGTAAAGTGTCTTCTGAAATCCTCTGCACATCCCTGACCATCCTCTAAACATCCCTGACAAACCTCTACACATCCCTGACCATCCTCTAAACATTCCTGACCATTCTTTAACATCCCTGACCATCCTCTACACATCCCTGACCATCCCATACACATCCCTGACAATCCTCCAAACATCCCTGCCAATCCTCTACACATCCCTGCATACATTTATTTCCATTATTCCAATTGCAAAGTATTCCTAAGTTGTTCCTTCTGAAACCATTCATGGGGATATTTTGGTTTGCTCACTCCCCAAGCAATGTCAGAAAGACAACAACATTAGTCTAACATCCCTGCTTCTTTCTTTTTCTTAAATATCCCCCCCCCCCCAACCACCACACATGCACACACACATTATACTGTATTTTGTCTCCTCTATTTCAAACAGTATCGACTTCACTGCTTCTTTCTTTTTCTTAAATATCCCCCCCCCCCAACCACCACACATGCACACACACATTATACTGTATTTTGTCTCCTCTATTTCAAACAGTTTCGACACAGAGCTCCACACATCCAGGACCCCAATACAAAGCTCCACGCCTTAGACAGAAAAACTATGAGTGAAGTAAGTGTGACCCAACCACTTTAAAGTTAATGAACAAGAACTTTTGGCCAGCACAACGGCAGGGCAGGGATACACTTAGCCTGATCCCGATTTCTATGTTAGAATTACAGGTGCTTCCCTGTTTGTTTTGAGTTAGATTGCTGGGGATAAATGTATACGTGTTTCTCATAAGCCGTTTGGGCTCTTTTTATAACCATTAATGGTAGATGTGTCAATAAAAAGTAAACATGAAACAGAATTTCACAACAAATGTAATATCAAAGAACTTGGACTTGTAAAAAAAAATGTTTAGATGCTTATATAGGAGCATAAAGATGGGAATAAAATTAATTGGGAAAAGCTCTATGAAAATAAAAAACAAATATTTATATTCTTTATAAGTAGTTTATATTCTTGGCAAAATTTAAGCAAAAAAAATTATAATTTAAATAAACTAATTTCTTAGATTGAAAGTTGTGTGCTTATTAATTAATCTTACACTGTGAAATTTTGTACTCTGAGACCTATGTTAATAATGGTTATTGGTTAGTTATTTTGTAATCGTCACTTGTGCTTAAACACATTGATATCATTTTAAATTGAGCAACTGCAGTCATCATTTAACTGTCCAACAGCTCCTGAGTCCACTCTTTAGGCTGCGTCAAGCCTGCTGCCATCCTCAGATTGTCAGGGGGGAGTTCGTGCCGCTTAACAAATCGTAAGTAGGTCGACAGTCTTGGAAAGCTTTATGTTAAGTGTCCTCTCAGTGATTGGATTAAGTCTGGTGCGGGGCGATGGGTGGTAGATGAGGCAATGGGTGGCAGATCAGGCGATGGGTGGTAGGTCAGGCAATGGGTGGTAGATCAGGCGATGGGTGGTAGGTCAGGCAATGGGTGGTAGGTCAGGCGATGGGTGGTAGGTCAGGCAATGGGTGGTAGATCAGGCGATGGGTGGTAGGTGAGGCGATGGTTTGTAGATGAGGCAATGGGTGGTAGATCAGGCGATGGGTGGTAGGTCAGGCAATGGGTGGTAGATCAGGCGATGGGTGGTAGATGAGGCGATGGGTTGTAGATGAGGCAATGGGTGGTAGATCAGGCGATGGGTGGTAGATGAGGCGATGGGTTGTAGATGAGGCAATGGGTGGTAGATCAGGCGATGGGTGGTAGATCAGGCAATGGGTGGTAGATGAGGCAATGGGTGGTAGATCAGGCGATGGGTGGTAGATGAGGCGATGGGTAGTAGATGAGGCGATGGGTGGAAGATCAGGCAATGGGTGGTCTAGTTCACTCGCAGTACAGGGCATTGGTTGTGGGGCTTAAGCTGCAGAACACTTTTAAATTGATCAAGTGTAAGAATCATGATTGTTGGCCTACCTAGTACTGTGCCAGATATCCTGCTTTGATTATATCGTCCAGCCATCCAACTTTATTGAACTGTTTTGGCTGATATTAATATGATTATGTTTTAATCATTTAGAAAAAAAACAACAATTTTTTTAAAATAAAAAAAAATTTGATACCTATTTTATAGTTTCAAATAATACTTTTAAGCATAAGAGATAATGGGACAACTGTGTCCATTGTAATTTTAGCTGTTATGGCTTCCTAATTGGCCATGCCAGTGTCTTCCCTCCTTTGCTCCTATCGTTAGCAAATGTTAGAAGTTTTATTTGTAATTCTATGAAAAATGTTTTCCACCGTAAGAAATTCCAGTACTGTTTTAAGATTGGTGGTGGCCTTTAAAGAAAATATTTTTTGTCTCCATCAGGATGTTGACCATGGAGGAATTGTTGGATTCGATGACCAAAAAGGTCAAGACAGAGTGCGAGGAGGCTCACCGTCAAATTGTGGCTTCTCTCAATGGCATGGCTGGCCTGTGCATCATAAGGGGAAAGGTGACCGTATACGTTTTAAGCTCAGATGGTGCAACTGCACACTTCTGATAGTGTGGGCACAGTTCAGTTAATGTGTGCACTGTTCATTTAGTGTGTGCACAGTGTGATAGTATATCTTTTAAGCTCAGACGGTGTAACTGCACACTTCTGTTAGTGTATGCATAGTTCAGTTAAGGTGTGCACGGTTCATTTAGTTTGTGCATGGTTCAGCTACTGTGTGCACAGTTTCATTTAGGCTGTGCACAGTTCAGTTAATTTTTGCACAGTTCATTTAGTGTTTGAACAGTTAAATTAGTGTGTGATCAGTTAAGTTAGTGTGTGCATGGTTCAATTAGTGTGTGCATGGTTCAAGTAGTGTGTCCACGGTTCAAGTAGTGTGTCCACGGTTCAAGTAGTGTGTCCACGGTTCAAGTAGTGTGTCCACGGTTCAAGTAGTGTGTCCACGGTTCAGTTAGTGTGTGCACAGTTTACATGTTTATTTTTCTTCACATCAACTGAGTGATGCATTTGTTAAGCTAAATGGACCTCAGGAAAAATAGCTATGGTGTAAGGTCATAAGGGAATACATTATAATATACTCTTAATAAGAACCCTAACAGTTTCACTCGTTGTCTTCCAAATTTACCCAAGATTTATTTATTTAAATCATTTTTGTCACAAATTCCAGCTTGCAGAAGCAGTTGAAAAGTACAGAGACGTGCTACGGTCAGTTGACGAGCACCAGGATCAATTCAGGACCGATGACCTCCAGCAGCTCCACGCCATGTATAACCTTGCTCAGATTTTGGACAAGAAGCCAGACGGTGTGTCCCCCACGGTCAGGGACAGCAGTTTGAAGCAGCAGGTGAGTGGACCGTTCTCTGGCAGTCCGGTCAAAATAACAATCATTTGAGTTTTTGTTAAAAGTTTTGGAATAGAATAAATCCTCTTCTAAAGAGGAACAAATCTAAATGTTTTGGGAAGACTTGAATTGATGAATTGACTTATCATGATTTGTCCTCCGCCACCATTCGAGCATGTTCAGTTTCATAGACTCCATAAGAATGGGATGCTGACTTGTAGGCACTACAACCTCGAGTCTATCCTCAATTTTCTATTGAGTTATCTGAGCTCCATGGTGGGGAATGCGTCAACACCAACCTAATATACTCGTTCTAAAGCCGACTTAAAAAAAATTTTAAAAAAATTCTGGGGAATGAATGAGGTCGTTAGTTGACTTATGAGCTGGTTATAGGAGATTTTTATTATTTTCTCCAGCCACATTAAATAATGAGCTCGTTTTTTTATCTGGCCAAGGTCCTGGTCTAGTAAACACTTTACAGGATTGTAATGCATAACCAGAAGCTTTCAATATTAATCAATATCTGAAAATAATTTATTTGATAATATCATGTGCAACAATAATAATAATAATAATAAAGATTATTTGAAAATCACAGTTCATCCCTAAAGGCTCGAAGCGGGGTACATACCACATTGAAGTACAAAATGCAACATTACAAAAACTACATACGAGAATACCCATTCTAAGTCTTTCATACCTTGCAACCATAAACAACACACGCCAATATACATTTATAAGATAATAGCTAGATAGACAACATCCCCCCAGCAGGTGTTTGCGAAATAGATAAGTCTTCAAATCAGTTTTGAAAGACACCAGTGTCTGGCTGTTTCTGAGAGTGACAGGAAGGGTGTTCCAAATGCGGTCCACAAACAAGGAACTTTGTTTGACAACTAGCAGTAAAATGCCATGATGTATCATGTCAGGTATCAATAATGTGATCCACTAGCTAGTAAGTTTGTTTGACAATGAGCAGTTATTCCAGTTTGTTAATCTTTTCCCATAACCAAGAACGTATGGACCAGGAGAGGTATCAAAACTCAAACTAAACTAAAGGTATATCAGGCGGCTGTTCTCCCTATGCTTCTCTATGCCTGTGAAACGTGGACGGTCTACCAACGCCATGTAAGAATGCTGAACTACTTTCATACAACAAGACTCAGAAAAATCCTCAACATTAAATGGCAGGACAAGGTCCCAGACACTGAGGTGCTCACACGGGCAGGTCTCCCCAGCATCTTAATAATCTTGATGAAGTCCCAGCTTCGCTGGGCGGGACATTTTGTGAGAATGTCAGATGACCTTCTTCCCAAAAGAATTTTCTATGGTAAGCTTGAACAAGGAAAGCGGTCTGCTGGTGGACAGAAAAAACGCTTTAAAGACAACATAAAAGCCTCACTGAAAGCGTTCAGCATAAACCCAGACACGTGGGAGGAACAAGCAAGGGATGGAACTTCGTGGTGTTCCACTTTGCGTGGGAGCTCCATGCAAAATGAAGTTAGCAGAACAGCAGCTGCAGAGCGCAAGAGACATGCAAGGAAGGCCCGGTATGACTCTGCTCCCGGAGATGCGCCATCATTTTCCTGCACCTACTGCACAAGAGAATTTCGTGCCAGAATCGGCCTCATTAGCCATCTGCGCACCCACATACAGAACCAGCACAAACTCGGATGATTAAAGTGGTCATGGTCGACTCCCAACTGACGAACAACAAAAAAAAAAATTTAAAAAAAAAAAAAATTAATGATGGAATACGAATTGACGAAGTAGATTTTTATTTTAAAACAAAAATGTCAAAATTCTTTTATAAAATTTAACATTTCAAATCAAGGGGGGTTAAAAAATATTTAACTTGAATCAATGATACGATGTGCGCTTTGTTGCTGAATGCAAGTGGTTCAAGAAGATTTAGTTGAATAGGCATTAATATATAAATTTATATTGTTAGCATGTCTGCAATAAATGATGAATTTGGTACACAGAGTACATTGGCATGTACAGAGTACTCAGGCATGTACAGAGTACTCGGGCATGTACAGAGTACTCAGGCATATACAGAGTACATGGGCTGGGGGTGTGTCTGCACTGTTTTCTTTGTAGATACGGGTGACATTTTCTGCCAATTGTACAGTGTTTTTTTTTTGTGGTGGTGGGGGGTGGGTGGTAAAAAGTTTGACCTTCTCTGGGCGGCACTAACCCTGGGTAAGCATCTGCCAGGTGGTGAGGCAGACGCATGATGTAGTTGCCATTGAATGTTGAAAGCTTGTCTGCCCAAGGGGCTGTACACAAGTGCATCTCTACCTCAGTGTTTCACACATTAAATTCTACTATCTCTATCTGCATAAAACAATTGCTCAAGCAAACTTAATGCACACAAATTCCTGAGGCCACCCTTAAAAATGTTTTATAACAATTGTAATATGCACGTGTTATGTTTTAAAATCCACCTATAATATTTTAGCTCTTTGTGAAAAGTTAAATTATTAAATCTTATTTTTTTTTCTCTCCAGTTTGAAGCCTTAAAAGAAAAGTACATGTCAAAGAGTAAAGTGAATGTGACCAGTAGCAAAGAAGCCTTGGAGATGATCAGGAGAACCATAGATGATCTCAACATCAAGGTCAGTACTTCAGATATGGTTACTCTTATGATTTCAAAGTACAATGTACAGTTTTAAATAAAAATGGACTACAAGACCTGTCAGGGTCAGAACTACGATTTTAAGACCCATTTTAACAAAATATACCAGAAATATCAGTGTAATCCAGCTAGTCATAATTTAGTCAACATTTCCTTTTGTTTGCTTCTGTGTTGTATGATGTTATTAAGTGACATGATTCTTTTAGATCTCTCCGTTTGGAAAAGTGAACATTTTGTTTTTAAAAAAAATGCAGTCTCAACTGCTCCGCACAGTAGTGTTAGATTTTGACATATTTTGTAAGATTTAGTGAGCTGCATTTGAAATATATTTTTAGAAGTCACTAAGCAGCTGTACACATTGAATACCCCAGTTTGTTGTCATCCGTTCTATTGCCTTCTTCCAATAAGCTTACGGTAGTTATTAGACTATTATATGTAAACAGAATAATGGGAAATTAGGCTCAAAGGCTGAATGCACAGGTGCCCAATCAGCGGTCGGCCACATTTAATATTGTGGCTCGCCAGATGGATCACAAATGAACTTGTTTCTTCATTATTGGCATAAAAGCACATTTGAAATATCTATAAAAACTTTTTATGACAGTATGTGCCACTTCGGTTTACCAGCCCCATATTTTGGACTGATTGAAATAAATTGATTGAAATAAGTAATTTCATATTGTAAATAAAAAAAAAGCTTTAAAACAATTTTACTTTTTATAAACACTGCTAGGTAAAGGGTACTTAATTTTCTACAGGCAAAACTAAATTCGGGTATTCACCAGTATGCATCCCTGCATTTTGGATTTATAAACAATGTCTGAGTCCCCTCCACAAACCAATCTCCACTTTCGCTTGGGGGACATACACGATTTCCGCTCCCCAACCCCTCTTCGTCTATCAAAACTGCGATGACAGACACCATTTTATGTGCAATAAAGCACTGTATACAAATGTATAAACGTCTGTCACCTACTTTGGGAAAGTGACCTTTTTAAAACATATGATGCAAATATTTATTGTATACATTGTACTGTACGTTTATTTATTTACTAATACAGTATGTTATTGTAGGATCTGGAGTTGGTAAAGCACTGTCTACAAATTTATAAACGTCTGTCACCTACTTTGGGAAAGTGACCTTTTTAAAACATATGATGCAAATATTTATTGTATACATTGTACTGTACGTTTATTTATTGACTAATACAGTATGTTATTGTAGGATCTGGAGTTGGTCAAGTACTATTCTGTAAAGATATTGTACTATCTTGGGAGTTCCAGGGTAACCAGACTGACAAGTTAACATGCTTTGATTTTTTAAAAAGCTTTTTAATTCATCCGGCACCTGAATGAGTTCGGCATGGACACGCTCAGGTCGTGTATCGAAAATAACAAATTGAAGATAACATTATTTGATCAATGTGGCCCTGGTGTCCTGATTTATTTTGGTCTGTTGCATTGTAGTCGGGCAATCAAATGTAACAAATGTGTATAGAAATAATATTTCTCCTGTGCTTATTTTCCTTCACTTACATACAGCTTAACTCATTTATTTAAGAACACAACTGTATTCATTTATTTAAGAACACAACTGTATTCATTTATTGAAGAAAACTGACCAATGCCCTTGTGAAACATGAAATTTATTATTTTCTTTAAAGATTCTTTACGTCATATATTTATAAGGTTCAGCAAAAAGTTCACTCGAAACAAAGGTTGTTTTTCTCTTAGATTTTATTAGATTTTTATTTTTTTAAACTTTTTTTTCCGGATCTCTCTGCTTACTATCAGTGAGTATCATTGATACGAAGCACATGTCATTAGCACTGCAGTTATTTATCCGATAACTTTTTGTTATTTTTCTGTTTTGTCAGGTTGCCGCTTTGGATGGGGACTGGTGGGCGGATGTTGTGGACATGACGGTCCAGCGAGGGATTGACCACGAACTTGTGTGTAAGATAAAAGATGACCTGGTCAGAACATCGACTACCGAGGCCACCATTGCTGATTCGTGAGTCGCTGTTTTGCCTTGTTGGCTGCTGATTAAGATGAGTGTTTGATTATATACAGGACCCTTGTGAGTGGGACACAGGGATTTATCAATTGTTATCTTATATAAAGGCCCTTGTGAGAGAGACCCAGTGAACCATCAATTATTATCTTATGTACTGGACCCTTTTGAGGGGGACATAGGGAACCATCAGTTATGTTATATACTCGACCCTGTTGCGTGAGATATGCAAAATAGCACATTTTCCCTACTTTTTCTTATTCACTATTGTCATCCTTTGTGTAAGAGCATAAACAATGGATGCGTGAAGACTCTTCTTGGAACTAGCGTATTTCCCGGCGTATAAGACGACTGGGCAAATAAGACGACCCCCTAATTTTCCAGGAAAAATATTGGTTTTGGGATATACTCGCCGTATAAGACTATTGTACCTAGCGTATAAGACAATTGTACCCAGCGTATAAGACGACCCCCAAGTTTTGGCACTATAATTTGGGTCTAGAAAGTTGTCTTATACGCTGGAAAATACGGTAGTCATTTCTCAGATCTTTGATATCCAAGTTTGTCATGTGTGGGCTATGCTGACTTTGTTGGGAGGGGGGATGGCACAAGTTTGTCATGTGTGGGCTATGCTGACTTTGTTGGGAGGGGGGATGGCACAAGTTTGTCATGTGTGGGCTATGCTGACTTTGTTGGGAGGGGGGGATGTGTGTGGGGGGGGGGGCGCAAGTTTGTTACATGTGGGCTAAGGTGGCTTTGTAAGGGGGCCAGGGTTGTGGGTAGTGCTGTGGTGAATATGTCAGAGAGATGTAGCTGTCATGAGAATCTTATGTGTTAACATCATTTCTTTATTTTCCATTGTTTCTCTTAAATTGTTTCTGATTATTTGCTTCTGAGGTTCATATCACAGAGACTCACACATCATACAAAGGGAATGGATTCATCATACAAAGGGAGGGCATATATCATACAAAGGGATGGAATATTTCATACAAAGGGAATATATCATGCAAAGGGAGGGAATATATCATACAAAGGGAGGGAATGCCTGATATAATATTGATTATTGACCTGATGTTTATTGTATGCTAAACAATGTCTCAGCATGGCTGCCAGGGGGGGGCAGGGAGGACATACAGCATACAGGCACTCCACTATAGAAATAGTTAATGAGATTAAACACAACTTCCTTTTGCGAAACTTGTCCACAGGTATCAGCTAGTGGCCCCCGTCCATTACAAAATGTCTGCAGTAACCTTTAAATTACAACTGCCATATAAAGCTATGGTCAGAACCTCCTCCCGGCCCTCTCCCCCCCCCCCCTTTTTTTTTTCCTCCCCCCCCAGATATCACCCCAGTAACCTTTAAATTACAACTGCCATATAAAGCTATGGTCAGAACCTCCCCCCGGCCCTCTCCCCCCCCCCCCTTTTTTTTTTCCTACGCCACTAGATATCAGCCATGCATTGTTATCATGTTTATTTAGGGATAGAGAATGCCCGCATGAATGATTTGAGCTTTATAAATAAATATCCAGAAATGTGTTTGACAAAGCTCATGAAATGTCTGTGACAGATTTACAACAGCTTCGGGACTCATGTACGTAATCGACTCACACCTTCAAACCCTCAACAAGGCCCGTCAGAATCTAACCTCTGGGATAGAGAAACTTGCCAGAGACACGTCGGCCCCATTAGTGGAAAAGGCCGCTGCTTGTTGCTTGAGACCGGTTGAGGAAATTTTAAAAACGTTAGTCCCCGACTTTTAATGTTATCAGTGAAATAAATAAATTTAGAATGCATTAAGCTTTTATTTTTAAATTAATTTTTTTTTATATCCTGGTTAGTTTATCAGAAATTAATCAAAATAAACAACTCATATTTTTTTCTATCATAAAAATAGTTCAGTATATGGAATCAAATATAAATGTTATCATTTAAAACATACCTCCAGTGTTATCATTTAAAACATACCTCCAGTGTTATCATTTAAAACATACCTCCAGTGTCATCATTTAAAACATACCTCCAGTGTCATCATTTAAAACATACCTCCAGTGTTATCATTTAAAACATACCTTCAGTGTTATCATTTAAAACATACCTCCAGTGTCATCATTTAAAACATACCTCCAGTGTTATCATTTAAAACATACCTCCAGTGTTATCATTTAAAACATACCTCCAGTGTTATCATTTAAAACATACTTCCAGTGTTATCATTTAAAACATACCTCCAGTGTCATCATTTAAAACATACCTCCAGTGTCATCATTTAAAACATACCTCCAGTGTTATCATTTAAAACATACCTCCAGTGTCATTATTTAAAACATACCTCCAGTGGCATTATTTAAAACATACCTCCAGTGTCATCATTTAAAACATACTCCAGTGTCATCATTTAAAACATACCTCCAGTGTCATTATTTAAAACATACCTCCAGTGTCATCATTTAAAACATACCTCCAGTGTCATCATTTAAAACATACCTCCAGTGTCATCATTTAAAACATACCTCCAGTGTCATCATTTAAAACATACCTCCAGTGTCATCATTTAAAACATACCTCCAGTGTCATCATTTAAAACATACCTCCAGTGTCATCATTTAAAACATACCTCCAGTGTCATCATTTAAAACATACCTCCAGTGTCATCATTTAAAACATACCTCTTATGTTATTTCAAGTTTATCTTACAAAGAACTTGTGTAAAATGGAAGATTCAACTTACTAATTTAACTTTCTTCTTGATATTGCAATTTAATTACAAAAATGTATCTGCTTTCTCTATATCATAAAAAAATACTGAAAGGCTGGCTGAGCTTTTAAATATAGTCTCAAGTAATTGTCAGTTATATTATTGGTAAATAAATTGATATTTTTATGAATGGATAGGTTTATTTATGCCTAAGACGTGTCCAGTTCATGACTAGTCTAATTAAATATATTAAATTGGTAGTTACTATACATTTTTAACCTTAATCTTTTTAGGTGTTCGTTCTGCAAGGTGGATGAATTGTTCAACGAGTACGAGTCCAGGTTGTTTCTCTTTGTAGAAAGGTAACTGTCCTACATGTCCTACATGTCCTACATGTCTTACATTATTTGAATAGTCCTTCAATACCAGAGTCATAATTCTGTTTTTTAATTTTACAAAAAAAAAAACAACATAACTTGGCTGTTAATGAGTTCCATTTGTACATTCCTTAAATTAGTAGGCCGTGTTTGGGAACTTTGAGAACCTTCATTATTTCTGTTGATAGCGGTGATCATTTGAAAATATCTTTTTGTGTGTGTGCTGCACGTCTTGATTGTTCAAGTCGGGGAAGGCCAGTTGTTTTTCATGGTATGAATTGTATATTTTTTTTACAAAGGGGCATAACAGTGTCAGGTGAGGACAGCAACCTCGCCTACCTGGTGAGCACCAAGAGGCAGGGCACCTGGGCGGACAGTGAGGTGGAGAGGGCACTTAAGAGCATTCAGTCATTTTACAGACTTCACTTTGGTAGGTCAGAAATATCTTGTCTGATATTCTAAGGACTCGGTGGGCCGAAAATATTTTTTCCTCTAAGGGCTTGAAAAATGTTTCCAGTTCACTATAATGTTTAATACAAAATAAAATCACTAAAAGCTATGTACATTTAGTTACGATTTGGAAATATATTTAAAAAAGCAATAAATGTTAATAAACTTTATTTTTTATATAGATCTTGAAAGTGGAGATGTGCCACGTAATAGTGTATTAATTTCTCTCACATAATATATGATGTTTAAAATATTCAAAGGGTGAAGGCTGCTTGAAAAAGTTTAATATCTACCTCTTAGTGTCAACATTATTTAAGAAATAGGAGTCACAGGGATTTAAAAAAATAATTATTGAGGTCATGAAGAAACTTTATTTGTAGAGTGTCTTTGTGGGGATATGTGGTTAGGAGGGGTGCAATTTCATAAAGTCTGGGGACCACTGCTGTAAGAGACATTTATTAAATTAAACCGTTGTACAACTGTGTGTAAAATTTCTAGAGGGAATTTGTTTAGCTGTATAAAATATATATAATCATCATAAATTTAGGCAAATCTTCGATACTTTCATAACTATGACATTTTATTTCCTTTGTAGACGCAGACCATGATATTATTGAAGCATCAAATATCCAGATGAAATACATGGAGACCTTGAAGAAAGAATTCAAAGTATACTCAATCATTAAAATCTATTTCCATTTTTCACCTTTCTTTTTTCTTCCCATAAATATAATTTTTGAGAACGAAGTCTTTTGTTAAGTATACCGATGCTTGTATTTTAATGAATATTTCTGGATTATTTTTATGTTGTGTTCGTAATACCTTTATGTATCTCTTATTACACAAATATAACCTGGACAATGTATTCAAGGCATTTTTTTTTTCTTTAAGTTATAAAGTGAGTCCACTAAAAACGAGTTGAACTAAAACATAGCAGCTAAATTTTAATATAGATTAATAAATTAATTTGAGTTACCCTTTATTGAATTCTCCTAAAATGTTGTCAGTCAAAGGGTAATGGCCTAATGATCTGTTATCAGTGGCGTAGCTAGGTTTAGCACCATCCTTGGCACTAATAAGCTGCTTGTGGCAGACTAAGATCCCCCCCTTTCCCTTTTTCACTAAAAAAATACCCCTCTGCAGTGGGCAAAAAATCCCGCCCCTCAATATAAAGAATATATTTCATTTCGGTCAGGGGCGGACCACCCCTCGTACCCTTTCTTCCCGTGCTGTTGACTGTTATCTCTCTCAATTGAATATGCATATGATGTAAAAATAGCATCCTCGCCTCTCCTTTAAGTGCTTAAAAATGCTAATACTTATTGTTTTCAGATGTCTGCGTTCCTAATATTTAAAAAAAAAATTAAATCTGCGTTTTTAGTGCATTCATTTAAACATTTTTTTTCCAGAGTCTGCGTTCCCTCTGGCTGAGCCACAGAGAGATGATCTCAGCAATAGATGAGTGTGAGATGGCCACAGAGAGGCTCAGGCTGAGGACAAGCCTAGATTCAGAGGCTGCTACAAAGATACCAAATGTCATTGAAGAGAGAGAGGTATGACGTGAACTTTTTGGAATCACGTCTGTGAATTATGCTACACTGAACTAAATTCTAAAGACCATTGTTGTCGTTCTAAAGATTTTAGATGTAATTACTTGAAATCCGAACATTTTATTTTCTGTTTAGAAACGAAAATCTTTATTGCTCAAGTGGAAGAAAAATCAATGAATTAAAAAAAAAAATGAATTAATTATTGTTGCTATAGGGAAAACATTATTCTGATATGAGGATTTGTACATGTCTCTTGTTTTAGCTTGACATACTTTTTGTATATGTACATTATAAATATGTTGCATTGCAAAGCATTATGTGTACTTTCGGCCAAGCCGAAAAGCTACTGAAAAAACGTGTGTGTCTGAAATAGGTTTCCAAATGTAGACAAATCCACATTTGAATAAACGCATTTCCAACTTATTTACAGTATGTTTGCATTTGGTCACCTTATAGCTAGTTGCCATGAAAAATACTTGAAAACTAGCTTCAAAATACATTCATCCTGTCCCTTGTGGTTTTCTAATAAATTCTGTGAAACTGAACCAAACCTTGATGCTACCAGTGGTTCGTGTCCATCAATGAAGGAATTTTGGTGCCATCAGCGGCTTATAGTAGTGAACTGGTTTAAGACAAATTGGATTCTGAAGCTGTTACAATCTTCTTCTTCAGTTCTTCTAACAAGCTGTTACAATCTTCTTCTTCCATTCTTCTTACAAGCTGTTACATTCTTCTTCTTCCATCCTTCTAACAAGCTGTTACATTCTTCTCCTTCTCACAACAGATGATGCAGCATGAACTGAAATGTTCTTCCGATGAAATTGTAGGACGAGACGAGCTGAAGAAAAAAAGGGGGCAGTTACTCTACCTCATCAATGTGGCTAAAAAGGTTATCATTTGTGTCCATTAACATTTTTCTAAATCCTCTTACAGCAGTGGGTCTCAAACTTATCATCTTAGAACAGTGGGGCTGAAATTTAACATCTAACAGCAGGGGATCTCAAACTTATCATCCTACAGCAGTGGGGCTGAAATTTAACACTAACAGCAGGGGGTCTCAAACTTATCATCCTACAGCAGTGGGGCTGAAATTTAACACTAACAGCAGGGGGTCTCAAACTCATCATCCTACAGCAGTGGGGCTCAAACTTATCATCTTAGAGCAGTGGGCTGAAATTTAACATCTTACAGCAGTGGGTCTCAAACTTATCATCTTATGGCAGTGGGTCTCAAACTTATCATCTTTAAGCAGTGGGTCTCAAACTTATCATCCTACAGCAGTGGGTCTCAAACTTATCATCTTAGAGCAGTGGGCTGAAATTTAACATCTTACAGCAGTGGGTCTCAAACTTATCGTCTTATGGCAGTGGGTCTCAAACTTATCATCTTACAGCAGTGGATCTCAAACTTATCATCTTACAGCAGTGGGTCTCAAACTTATCATCTTACAGCAGTGGGTCTCAAACTTATATTATTAATCAATTTTTTATAGGCATATTTTGGCATAAAAAAAAATAAGTATGCGTCTTTTATTGCTCTGCTGTATTTTGAACAGAATCAGTATGGTGAAGGCTGCAATCCTGACACGTGTCCAATATGTCAACTGGAGCTTGGAGTGGAGGTGAATAGTTTTTCTTTATTGATAGATCCACTGGACTCAGTGATCCCTACATAGTGTTCCATACACAGTGACCTGTAGACATTTAAGTTTCTTCTTACATGTGTAGAGCTATTTCCCTATTGTTGAAAATTACTTAGAAATTACCAATTAAGTAGGTTTATTTAATTACTTAATTTAAATGTGGGTTAATAGCAAAACAACACATGAACAGAATAGTTTATCTTTGGTGCACTTGTCATTTTCTTATGTGATTCAAAGATTGAAAATGTTTCCCCGATTTGCGCGGTTATTTCATTTATCTACATGCCTACCAGTTGCTATCTTTATTTGAATTGGACGTATTAAATAAATGCTTGATAAAATAACATGTCTTAATAATATCAAAGCTTTATTTTGGTTCAGCTGGTTGCAGACGTGCCGTATTTCTGGTTTGAAAAGTCATTTTCTGTTTTCCTCACTGTTAGTTCTCGGATGCTTCATCGTTATATTGATGTGATAAGAATTTTATATTGATGTGATAAGAATTTTATATTGATGTGATAAGAATTTTATATTGATGTGATAAGAATTTTATAATATTGATGTGATAAGAATTTTATATTGATGTGATAAGAATTTTATATTGATGTGATAAGAATTTTATATTGATGTGATAAGAATTTTATATTGATGTGATAAGAATTTTATATTGATGTGATAAGAATTTTACACACACACATAGGAGTTCGCTGAAATAACAGTGTCTTCTTGATGGCGACCATGGTTTCACCTTTATGCTAAAGAAGACTTACATTGTGTGATTTTATCGAGGGTTCACTATATAAGAATAAGGAGGTCAAACTCTATTAAATGCGTCAACTCATTTAATTGTTGTCTTACTGATTGATATCTTAAATGTTCTTTTATGACCTGTCCCAGTGGAGTGTACTGATGTGCGGTCACTGCTTCTGCCTGCGATGCATCAGGACCTTGATTGACCGCAACCTCATCGGCGGCCAGCTGCTTGAACGTCGGCTCAAGTGTCCCATGTGTCGTCACATGACCCCAGTCAGAGAAATCTCCTACGTCACCACTAAGAAGAAAGAAATGCTGAATGTCAAGGTTGCTACGACTTCTCCAAATCCATTTTTGACATTACGTAATCTTTGATATTTTTAGAATTTTTTTTAACATCTCTAAATCCATAAATTCCTCACCCATTTAAAAAAACCATGATGCATTGCTGTCCAACTTGCGTGCCACATTCGGCTCGCAAAAAATGTTTAAATGGTCTGCCAAAGCTTTAGGAATTTTTATGTGTGTAAAAATAAAAATTTTATGGTTAAAAAATTTTCTAACGACATTAATTGAAGCAGTATTTTTGGGAAATCGCGTGAGAGCACAGAAGTCGTAACATGGAAAAGCGGGGGGCCAAAAAGCTAAAGACTGTGATTGCTTGACAGATAGCAGTAATTTATGTTAAGCACATCAGCAGAGCAACCATTCAGGAACATGGGTTGACATGAAATCAGAATGCATACTAAGTTAGATGAAATAGATAGGTGAGCACCGCATGTTAACTACTGCACTTTGTGGGATGATAAGAATATGTCAGGAAAGTCTTCGGGTCAGAGTAATGTACATGGCAGCTGGGGCACTAAAGGTGTCGCAAATGAATATGGTGGGCAGTGTGAACCGTTCGTGGTATCATATTATTTTAACAGTTGGTCTAGCCGGGTATGGAAAAAGAGTGTGTCCATCCTGTATTGTTGTGCTCGGGGACAAGTACCTGGTATTCCAAGATCGGAGTGTGAGATGTCCAATGAGTAGAAAGCATGACAAATGCTGTGTTTGTTTGCAGTTAGTGCAATTTAGTCAGGGTGGAAATGTGAAAGATTCTTGGAAGGTCATTTCTAAAAAATTAAAAAAAAAACCAAGAATGTTTGACCAAATGAATTCTGGACATCATGTTTCTGCTGACGAATTTCCTCCAATACGAAACCTTTGTACCAAAATTTGGACCATGCTTCTGAAAGCACTTAACCCTTTACAGTCTGCTGCGCCCGAAAGGCGCCAATTTTTTTCCTTAAGCCCACAGTCCGTTGCGGCCAAACCCGCCCGTTTTGAGGTTGTTTACTTTCGATCTTAGCACAGCGGAAATCCATTGCGCATTACTGTTTATAGTTCTACCGGAAGAAAGCCTCGTTGTCGGCATTTATTTTGATACTAGTTTGACCGGGGTGTGTTTAGGGCTCATTTTCTACGATTTTTTAAAAAAGTTTCCATTTTTTTCGCTGTAAAAAATGGCTATCTAAGCCTTGGACACACTTTTGAAAGAACTTAGGCTAACGAAGCTTCACTATTTCACGAGTGGGAGGGTCTCTGAAACTATTTTTAGGTTTAACTTTTGCTTTAATCCTTTATTTGTATTTAGGTATTTTTTTATTTTATTTTCTTGCTTCTGGTTTATTTTCCGTAAATTAATTAGATAAAGAACCTTCATTTCAAATGGAGTTATGTCCCTTTGCTTGGGCGCTGAGAGTAGACGAGGCTGAACTGGCTTGGACTGTAAACGGTTCAGTCAGTGCAGCTGAAATTCTCCGTTATTACCAACATCCGTAAAAAAAATGTAACGCTGTTAAGATTTAGAAATGGAAATGAGGGCAGGTTCTACTTAAAACTTCCTAAAGTTAAGAACAGTGCAAGTTCAATTCAAAGGAAATATATCATTCCATGCACCACATCTTTAATTCACCTTGTTTATATTTTTGATGAGCTGATAATGCTATTCCAATAAACATTTCTTTACGCGCAAGGTAAGAAGTATCGATAATGTGAATAGGTTTTCTAAAAAAAAAAACACTTTCTTTTGAGATGTAATGTGTGGCTCTTGAATTCATGGGAAAATGTTTTTTTGCCCACGGAGCCGAAAAGTTTGGACAGCACTGCCATAATGCATGACCATTTCTAAATTGTATGGGCTACATCTTTGGACACATTACACATATTGCATAACTTACTGCTTTCAAGCTTATTTTGAACTGGAAGCTTTAATTTTGTTCCCTCTGTTATTTCTGAAAATAGTGTAGCAAGTTTCTCTTTTTAAAAAAAAATAAATCGATTTTATACATAATAGTAAGATCTAACTGTATCACCAAATTTTATCATCATTAACAAAGTTCTGATCTTGACCTCTCCCTTGGTCTCATTTTGATCAATAATTTCTACCTTACAGGGCAGTCACTCCACTAAAATACAAGCTGTTGTAGAATGCCTCATCAGAATCAGGCAGCAAGATCCTACGGCCAAGTCTTTAGTCTTCTCAGTCGTAAGTTATCTGCTCATGTTTTTTTGTTGTTAATCCTGTTTACAATGTTTCACTATAGAATTTATAAGAAATGGGCAAATCAAATTAAGGGGTGTGACTGGGAGAAAACTCAAACAAAACTATTTTTTTGTTTTTTAAGTGGCTTCCCATATTTAAAGGACAGAAATATAATCTTTAAAATATCTTTAGATAATTTTTTTTCCCATCTTTAAAAAAAAAAAATCTTTAAAACTTGTAGATGGCACTCGAAGTCTTTTAAACATTGGTAACCTGAGAAAAATTTAATATTTACAAAAGAATGGGTGGAATAAAGCATTTGCAGCCACGAAAACTGTTTCTTATAAAGACATGACTTTTTCAAATTTTGTGTGTGGGTTACCCTTGGCGGCTTGTGACATCGTATGATTTTATCTACAAATATCCGGTCCTGTGTCACATTTAGGCCATGTATTCAATAATCAAATTTAAGGTCACAATCCTTTTTGTAGTGATGCGATGTTGTTTTTCATAAGTGGTAAATTATAGTTTTGTTTTTTGTTGACTTTGTACCGCGTTTCGAGCCTTTGGGGATGAAGCGTGTTTTTGAAATAAACTTTATTATTATTATTATTAATGTTAGAAATTCAAAGATTTATTAATGGCTATTTGTTGCAAAAAATGAAATAATTGACTTAACTTTATATTGCATCTTAGTGTCACCAAATTTTTTTGTCAAAAATCTTTTTATGCTGTATATAAATAAGAGAATTTTTTTTTCCATCTCTTGTTTCAGTGGGTCAGTGTTTTGGACATCCTGGCCGCAGCTTTGGCTGAGAACAAAATATTGTACAAAAGTTTACATGATCTGAACTACTTCCAGGTTAGACACTCGACTTAACTGTGGGATAACATTTTTTTTTTAGCACCGAGGTCAAAGGGAAGTGGCACAGATTAAAAAGAACCTCGACAATTTGAATGTTATACTGACTGGTGAAGTGAAAAGAAAAAAAATTATTCAGCCTCTCTTATATTTGTAAATTATTCCAAAACCAAAGATAATTTAATTACAGATGGAGCATCTTAGTTATCAGAATGCAAGACAAATATTGCCCTCGCAACTTTTTATGGATTTCTTCAATTCTTTTCATTGTTTTATTTGTACTTAATAAAACAACAACATATTTCTTTGAAACAAATCAAACTTGGGATGCGGGGTAAATCCTGGCCAATAAATTCATGAGATGCGTCTCGGTTGTTTCAGAATGTGAGGAAGTTATTAAAAAATAATAGGAGTCTATTGAAAAATCAGCAAGGCAATACTGTTCAAATTTTCAGAAAAATCTGTCGTCATTCAAGACGGAAAAGTCCATCCAGGTCCTCCTGCTCCCCCTCCACTCTGGTGCCAATGGGCTGAACCTTGTGGAAGCCAACCACGTCCTGCTTGTGGAGCCAGAGTTGAACTTAGAGGAGGAGGCGCAGGCAATCTCCAGAATCTTCAGGATAGGTCAAACCAGGTGAGATTCTTGGGATAGCATTGGTTGAGCTCCGGTGATGACCCTTTACTCTGAAATACGTGTATTGTAGTGTGCATTATTGTGTAGAAAGTGTTGCCATGTTCATGAGAATTACAGTAAAATGTCTTGTCATTTTTCAATTATAGATATTGTATTTCTAGAATGTTGTCACAGCTCTGATACAAAGACAGGCTCATCATGACAGAAATAATGTTCTAATGTCTGACATTGGTTTACAACCTTTTTTCTCTTATGACCCACACACTCTTTTAATGTTATGATATTAGATTATATGGTTTATATTATAGGTCGCACATTAAACTGTAGGCAACATGACCCTTCAAAAATTTCGTTTGGCATTGATATAAATTTCTTCATATTAAACACACAATTACCCTTTCTATGAATGTGACATGCATTTTGAAAAACTCCTGAAAAACCTCTCATTTTGTACAAGCTTACATGATGTTTCAAGTTAGATTTAGTTAAAATAGCCATCAATGAAATCAGGCTTAGCAAGGTATACATTTAATTTTTTCTTCCACAGAAAAACCAAAATACATCGCTTCCTGGTGCGGGGCACCATCGAGGAAAAAATTTTCCACATGGTCAAAACATTAAGGGAATCTAGGTCAGGGACGGAGGAGGGAGGAGAGGCCTTGGAGCTCACAGTGGGTCACATAACATCACTGCTGCAACAACCTGGCCCCGATGACGAGGACATGGAGGATGACAGCTATGACACCCTCAGTGAGGCTGAGGCTCGTGGTGATCGTCCTGGTGAGGGAGGTGACCAAAGAGGTGGCGGAAATGGAAATGATGTCGCCGTGGGATCAGGTGATGTCGCTGTGAGGTCAGTTGATGCCACTGCGGGGTCAGGGGATGTTGCTGTCCGGTCAGGTGATGCTATTGTGGGATCAGGTGATGTTGCTTTGGGATCAGGCGATGCTGCCTTTGTTGGCAGCAGCATATCATTGAGGCAGGAGGAGGAGGCGGGCAGGGTTGAAAACAATGTTAGTGAGAACAGCACTATTGCCAACAGTCTAACAGAGTAGTTACATGAAGTACTCACAACTACTAATGATGAGGTCTAGGGATAACCAACGGCCTTTGCCTGTCAGACGTTAAAGAAAATGAGCACTGGAGAATCAGTGCTTAGTGACTCATCAGACCCAGCATGTCGTGCTGGTCACCGAGGTAGGGAGGCTGACCACCAACCGGTTGGACCAAGGACAGCAGACCCAGCATGTCATGTTGGTCAATGAGGTAGGGAGGCTGACCACCAACCGGTTGGACCAAGGACAGCAGACCTAGCATGGCATGTTGGTCACCAAGGAAGGGAGGCTGACCACCACCCGGTTGGACCAAGGACAGCAGACCCAGTTGTAACCACTGACCTGATGACAATATGTTCATGTCAGGGGCCTCAAATAAACGGCCAGTCCGAGATGACCCATGTGGCCATACAACGACATCGTATCTTGGAAATGATCATCTGAAATTATCTTTACAGGTTGTTAACAAGATCAAACTTGAGGACACACCAGTCGTTTAAGTTGTTGGTGCGTCCCTTTCCCTAGGACACCTGAGTCTTGTGTTCACGTTCATCCAAAACTGTGCTTCACAGACACATCAGTCGTGCAAGCTGTTGGTGCGTCCCCTTCCCATTCATCTTGGACAAAACCTGTGTATTACCCTGTGCTGATTGTTTATTTTGAAGTTTAAGGAAAAATATCTTTGTGTAGCTCTTAACTGATCTGGCTGAGTTACTTCACTTAAACCCATATGTCTACTTCACTTAAACCCATACGCCTACTCATTCAGCTGATGGGTTTACTAACATTTCTTTTCACATATTCCTAGATCTGTACGTACTTACCATAAGCCACTGATTTAAATATGGATCACACTCTACCATTTATGAACATTGTTTTGGCAGCACCACAAACTTGTCTAAAGCTCATACACCAGACAGTTGAACATCCACACCTTTGTCATCCGGGTGTTTCTGTTATCCAGACTCAGTTGACCCAGTTGTCTACAAGGCAGGGAAGAGAACCTCATCACAGCAGCATTCTGAGTCAGGTCACGGGAACAAGCACATCACAAAAAAAAAAAACAAACAAAATGACTGAGATTCTGATGTTCTGGGTGAAGTCTCTTTAAACATTAGTACTCCAGTTATTTACATAAAACCTGCTTTCCTTTCACCATCATCATCATGTCACCATCTATTATCCTAAGTTTCATTTATCTGAAGCGCCCCCCCCCCCCCGTCACAATTGTTAGTCCAGATAATCAGTTTTCTACCATAGTCCAACTCTGTTCAGTGGACCGGCCACCATCAGCTAATAATTTGTCTTATAAATGAGTTGCCATTCCGATAAGTTTGTCCCCAATCTTCTAATCTTCTATCCATCACGGCCTTCATTTTGGTAATGATGAACTTGGTCAATGGGATCACTTTGATTGTAATTGTATGTATAAAATATTATTGCTAATTGTAAATATTTTTTATTTTTCTCTAGAGGTTCAGTAAGTTATTTTTGATTTGCTATTTCACTCAATCGGTGTATTTTTCACCCGGGATGCACGTCAATGATATTGTTCTCTTCCTGCCCGCACTTGCTTTTTCTCATATGCGGAAATTTCCAGGGAGGAAGGGTTGTTTGCAAGGAAATTTGTGCCAAAGGAAGTTTGTTTGAAATTAAATTTTTTAAACAGATTTATTTATGTATTTTTTGGGGATCTTTAATGTATTTTTTAAGAAAGTTTGATGGCAAAATGGGCAAAGTGTAAACTTTTTAATAATATTTATTTGTGTTGGTTTTTACCCATTATTTCATTTCGAACAAACTTCTGGCTAAAAAAATGTTCAAAAAAATTTCTTTCATCCAAGCATCTAGTAATTACCTTTTTCATCCTAGGACGTGGATATGTCATATTTCAAGCCATTCAATTCAGAACAGATTATCCTTTTCTAAATTTTACTATTAACATGTCATTTCGTTTAATGGTTGTGCCCTTGTATATCATGGCCACGCTTGTTTTTGACCATCATCCCATTATTTTATATTGGAAAAAAACCCACCTGATTTTATAAGCATTGTACCGTCGAACCCGCTTATCTCGACCTCGGTTAACTCACCAACCCTGTTATGTCATTGTTTTTGAAGTGGAACCGCCAAATTCTCTCTTTCTTTTGTCTTAGCATTTTCTCCTCGGTTATCTCGATCATCGGTTATTTCGACCTTCGGTTATCTCTATCCTCGGTTATCTTGATACTTGTTGGCAAACCCTGAGGCCGTCGACATAACTGAGTTCTACTGTAAAATCAAGCTCTTTAAGGCAATACTCTGTGGATCAAGGACTATCTACACTCTTTATCTATGGACTGTCTATACTCCTTATCTATAGTTGCTCATTCTAAAAATATATATATATTTTTTGTTGCACCCTGAATGAATCTAACATACAAGTTACAACATCCCGGGAATGAATCAACATTGTCATTAAATAAACATTAATTGCAAACATTAAATTAACCAACCATGTCATTGAATCAATATAAATTGCAAAGTTTAAATTACACTAACAATGTCATTAAATCAACAAGAAGTGCAAAGTTTTAATTACACCAACCATGTCATCAATAAATCAACATGAATTGCAAAGTTTTAATTACACCAACCATGTCATCAATAAATCAACATGAATTGCAAAGTTTTAATTACACCAGCCATGTCATCAATAAATCAACATGAATTGCAAAGTTTTAATTACACCAACCATGTCATCAATAAATCAACATGAATTGCAAAGTTTTAATTACACCAACCATGTCATCAATAAATCAACATGAATTGCAAAGTTTTAATTACACCAGCCATGTCATCAATAAATCAACATGAATTGCAAAGTTTTAATTACACCAACCATGTCATCAATAAATCAACATGAATTGCAAAGTTTTAATTACACCAACCATGTCATCAATAAATCAACATGAATTGCAAAGTTTTAATTACACCAACCATGTCATCAATAAATCAACATGAATTGCAAAGTTTTAATTACACCAACCATGTCATCAATAAATCAACATGAATTGCAAAGTTTTAATTACACCAACCATGTCATNTGGGTTTTTTAAAAAGTTTTTTTTTTTTTTTTTTTTAAAACATGATCCCATCTAGAATATTTCCATGCTGATCAAACATTTGGTTTACCGGTACCAAATATTTAGTCACTCGGATGATATTAGCTTCCTTCGTTATTTAAACCATTTTTAATACTAAAAAGATTTACAAATGTTGATGAAAAAACGGTGTCCTTTTCAATGTTAAAAAGGAAATACAACTTAAATGCAAATATTAAAACATGTGACTACTATTTTATTGTTTGGTTTTTGTGCCAATGTGATAGTTACTAAAATAAATCTAAGTAAAAAAAAAAAAGAGAGATTTACTAATCACACAGATATAAGTAAAGAATTGACAATTGTAAAAAGGAGGATCTGCCAATTCTTGTATGCCTGGTGCAATTGTTTGGAGACAGCATTTAAGAAACACTTGTGGTCATTTAAGAAACACTTGTGTTCATTTAAGAAACACTTGTGGTCATATAAGAAACACTTGTGGTCATTTAAGAAACACTTGTGGTCATTTAAGAACCACTGTGGTCATTCAAGAAACACTTGTGGTTATTCAATAAACATTTGATGTCCTTCAATTAACACTTGTGGTCATTCATGAAACACTTGTCATTTAAGAAACACTTGTGGTCATTTAAGAAACACTTGTGGTCATTTAAGAAACACTTGTGGTCATTTAAGAAACACTTGTGGTCATTTAAGAAACACTTGTGGTCATTCAAGAACCACTGTGGTCATTCAAGAAACACTTGTGGTTATTCAATAAACATTTGATGTCATTCAATTAACACTTGTTGTCATTTAAGAAACACTTGTGGTCATTTAAGAAACACTTGTGGTCATTTAAGAAACACTTGTCATTTAAGAAACACTCGTGTTCATTTAAGAAACAATCATGGCCATTCAAGAAACACTTGTAGTCATTCAAGAAACACTTGTGATCATTTAAGAAACACTTGTGGCCATGCAAGAAACACTCGTGGCCATTCAAGAAACACTCGTAGTCATTCAAGAAACACTTGTGGTCATTTAAGAAACACTTGTGGCCATTCAAGAAACACTCGTGTCCATTCAAGAAACACTCGTAGTCATTCAAGAAACACTTGTGGTCATTCAAGAACCACAGTGGTCATTTAAAAAACACTTGTGGTCATTTAAGAAACACTTGTGGTCATTCAAGAAACACTTGTGGTCATTCAAGAATGCCTTCCTCTATTTTCAGTCCTCCTGAGTAAGTCTTTCCATGTCCCGACTAAAAGCCATGTGCTGACCAAGTCTTGCCACGTCCTGACTAAGTCTTGCCATTTGATCAAATAGGCAAAGACTAGAGGTTGTGCAGTGTCTCTTACAGGCATACCTCTGAGTGTAGTCAAATCCCCCCCTCCCCGGTTGAGCTGTTTTTTTAAATAAAGATAATGAATAATTGAAAATAATATTAATATATATTTATAACCAAATAGTACACATAATATTTGTTGAAAAGATAAGTCAAGCATGACCAATGAAATTCTACAAACGATATATTTGATGTTTCGAATACTTAAGTCAAACCTTGTTAGTGGTAGCCGAGTTGGATAAGCTGGACACTAAAAAACAACATGTTGATATTGTGGACTTGATTTCTGTTAAATACATTAACGGAGACACGAATCGAATGTCTGGCTAGTGTATGATATTTGCAATAACTTTTTAAATCTTTCTATGGGCAAGTCTTTGCACTGCTTATTCCGAACTGCTGTAATTTTTCAAAGGTGCCACGTAACAAGGAAACAAGGGCTTACCAAAGAAATATTGCAGGCCACCACAAGAGGAGGGACAAGAAGAGGAAGACAAAGAGAAAGATGGGAGGATGTGACGATCTGAGGCTGGACTTTGTAAAATTTCTTATATCATAAACCCACCCTTGGAAACCCTTGTATAATAACTCCTTTCCCTCCCCTCAAGTTGCCCCGAAGTCGCTCAGCACGAGTGAGTTCCCTTGTGATATTATATTCCTGCATCAGTTCGCTCACCTCCCGAACATGCTATTTGCGGTCAACCATCCCACCGAACAACCTTGAGGAAATAATACCACCCCCCCCCCTCATTTTTGCCCTGTAGACAGCAAGGCGGAGTATCGTCCCTTGCTGGAAATGCATTGTCTAGACAGAGAACTCACGCCAAAGCCTGAAAAAGGATGGTCACCTCAGTCCGATTTACCTTGAGGGTTGAAGGTCAAACCCGCAACAGTGAAAGTGATTTTCATTGGATAGAAAATTGACCCCTCATGTGAATCACCCAATTGAACCATCAGCTAATCGTCATCGAACTCGAATAAATAGCCTGAACAAGCAAGATTCTGCCTTTTATGATCTGATCACTTGACGGTGAATGCTGGAAGGATCTGCACTCAGAACTTCGTCAGCATGATACATAACTGCATCCTAGGATATTAGCAAGTACATGACTTTAAGATCTGATCACTTGATTGTGGACGCTTGAAGTGACTAGACTTAGCACTTCACTGGCGTGATACTTAACTTCAACTGCTACCTAGAGTACTAGTAAGTACGCAACCATGATTTTGGTATTGCACTTGTATTGTTCATTCGCTATGTCTCAAATATTCGATCGTGTTTGACCCTATTCTAATAATGCCTCTATTACCTTATATTAATATTATGAATTCTATTATTGCTTTTGCTGTGGGCTTCGACATGCCGCCATCCCATCATGGGGATGGTAGGTTGTTGTTCCAACTCGCCCATGTCTCTTTTAACGAGATGACAATACGGACACTATGTACCTGTAGATATAATGATTGTTATTGATACCATGTCCCATATTTCATTAATTAAAATGTTTGAGTGGTCTAACATTGTCGCGATGCAACATATGCTCCCGCCGACAATGAAAAGACTTATATTCCATTCACAAATTGGATGTATATATGCACAAGCTACGTCACCTTCCCTACATCGATCTGAATTCGTTGCTGTTGGAACGGGACTTATCAGCTTATGGATATTCGCCTGGATACTTATCCAATTTTGTATCATTTTTGCCTTTAGCCTGGTTTCTACTACTGGACCGACTTACCTTGAGCTGGAACTAGGGGATTGATCTACATCCTACACCAAACTACCTGACAGCTAGGACTTCGAGATCCAGGGACTCTCACCACCACGATTTATCGCGGGAGAGTCATCTTCCCCTCGCAGACATCCCAAGGACTCTACGACCGGGAACTCCGACTTCGCTACGCTCGGAACAGCACCGAAGGCCGGAACAGGGACACGCTTCTTGAACAGAAGGACTCCCACACTGTGTGATCCACCGAGACCATCACAGAAACTATAAAGGCTAAGTCTACCAAGATCGAGCATAGAACTTGAGCAATATAGCAGTAGTAATGATGATACCGTCTGTATGTTAGGGACACTTGCTTTGTGTTAATATACCTTTCTAATTGATGAAATCCGTTTGATGTATATACATTGAGCACCACGAGTGTTTCAAGTAGGAAGTTGTAAATATTATTGTGTAATAAATATTTGTAGTTAATTTCACCTTTAACTAAGACTTCGTTTCAGTCTATACTATATGTATATAGATAGGTGTTATGTCCGTGTGGTTATTCGGCTTAAATAACATATCCCTAGACAGAGTGCCAAGAGGAGATCTCATACGAGAGACACTCCTCTCTAATAAGTCATAAGTCAGATCACCACAGAGGATAACATCAAAGAGTGGACAGGACAAACACTGGGCGATACTGTGCGTTGTGCAGAAGACAGAGACGAATGGAGGAGAATGGTTCACATGTCATATGTGGCGCCTCAACGGTCCAAGGACTAAGGGACATGATGAAGATGATGATGATGAGCAACGTCACCTCTCGTATATATAGATAAGCTCTGACACTGCAAGAGTTTAACAGTGCAATATACACAAAAAGTGAAGATACAACTTAGTAGCAGATGTACTGGTCTGATAATGTTTTACTTCCTTTTAATATAAATCATGTCATGTAATTAACTCATTCACTGTTTTTAAATTATGTATTGTAATAAACGTATATACTTCATACAAATTATATATGCAATTAGCTCATCTTCTTTATATCAAGCATGTAATGTTAACAGCTCATCTACTTTATATAAAAGGTTGAAATGTAATTAGATCAAATTCTTGGCTAGACATATACGGATTAAAGTAAAAGTGATATAAATTAAATTTAATTCATGCATTATGGTTTAAAAAAAACAGTGTGAAGTTGTGGATCACTGTTATTTTGATTAGCAATAACATTGTTAGATTGTATCACCTTTGTCGCATTAAATAGTATGGATTTGGTCAAGGACATACTTTTTCACTTTTTTTTGTTACAATGCTATATTTTGTTAGTAACACTATAATAGTGTGTAAGAAACAATGCAATATTGTGTGATTAAAATGTAAACATCATTGTAATATCAATGAAATATTATTAAATATGTGACAAGGCGTTAGTAACATTGTATAATGTGTTAGTAAAAATGTTAAATAGTGTTAGTAATATTTTAATTTTGTGTTAGTAATAATCATATGTAAATTATAGTTAGATAATTGACATTTGAAACTTGCTCTTAATATTCAAGAGAAGAACAAATTTAATGTTGCTTATTGAAATTATATCGAGTATCTGATTATGCGTTTTTAAAAAATTATTTTGAAATTTATTTACATTTTCTATACCATTTTTTAGTGTGACATCACTACTCTAATTGAAGACAATGAAAAGTTTAGGGGTAGAGAAATGTTATGAGCTGGATTTGGAAGCGTGATTGTCTGTTCCTGAAACTTTTTTGTGAGAGGTGGTGTATGGTTTTGTTAGTTCTAGTTATGATTGGTAGGCGGATACGAAAGGTTAGTTTGTAGAGTTTTGTTGTTGACTGTATGCTGAGTGATCATTTTAGTGTGAAGGTGCAATCTAATTTGTGAGTGGAGATGAGAGTCGTGTGAGTGATCATTGTTGTGTGCAAGTACAGGCTGGCTAGTCAGTAAAGATGAGAGTGGTCTGAGTGATTCTCATTTTTGTGAGAAGGTACACGCTAATTAGTTAATGGAGCAGAGAGTGGTCGTTGAAGATCCATGAATAATTGCCAAACTAATACAGATTTGTTATTACTTTCATTAAACGTTGGTTATTGATATTATGGGAAAGACAATTATGGGCGTGTGCGTAGTAAAGTGTGAACTAACCATCGCTGTGTGTAGTGAAGTGTGAACCTAACATATGTGTGTGTGTCACAAATGACCATGCTGGAGACAGGAGCCATGGGCGTGGGTGCCGCACAAAGGTACAAGTACAATAGATGAGGGAATTGTTAGCCTGCCATCGGCAGAGTTTATGGTAGTACAGTGAAGACATTATATTTTGGGGAAATCGAGAATCCAGGGGGACAGGGTGGGAACGGGTACCACCAATGTTTTCGATTAACAAATTTTAGTTAGTAGGTGGAAGAGGAATGTTCACGAAGACCATGGGTAAATTTAGATTAATTATCAGTAATAGTAAGAGTCTCAATGTAATAAATGCTAATAGTAGGGTAAGGACATGGGATAGACGT